AGATGCTAATGTGCCAATGTGCAACTGAAGTCACTGAACATACACAAAATTAGGAGGAAGCAGGGCTCTTTGTCCTTAAGTATCCACAGTGCTAACCACAGATGAAGTTGAGACAGTTGCTGGTGGTGACTAGAATGACTAAAAGCAGAGATGTTACATAATTTTACAAATGGTGGTGACTGCTTAGGAATTTACAGTATACAACTGTATCTTTCACATTTCCATTCTTACCAGGCATCTTTTCATCTGGAATGATTGAACTTTCACAGCCTGGATGGCTTCATCCAAGAGTTTTTCCTGCTCATCCTGGGGTGACTGCTGTGTTGTAGGCTAAAATGAAGATTTTAAAAATATTTTCATTAGTGGCTCATAAGCACTTTCTCCTGTCAAGAATTTTTTTTTTTTTTAATTTCTGTAGTTTTAGTGATAGACCTTTTCCAAAACTTTCACATAAGGCTTATTCTAGCTTCATATCTCAAATGAATTTGTCAATTTTTAACTGACTCAAAAATTCTGGCCTCAGTCCAGCATGCCTTTAATCCCAGTGCTTGGGAGATGGACGCAGGCACGCCTCTTTGAGTTCAAGGCCAGCCTGGTCTACATAATAAATACCAGAACAGCAAGACCTTCCTAGTGAGACCCTGTCTAAAAATGACCAAAAAATAAAAAGTATCTGGCATCAAAGAAACCTGTGGTGGTAGTTTATAGTTATGTTCTGCTAGCATACTGTACATCCAATTAAAACATAGCTGTAAAGCCAAATGTTTTCTTATGATAATTATAGTATAAATTCAAATTTTTAAGAACTTCTCTCTCCCTCTCAACTACATTCGCCTACATTTTAGTCTACTTTATACCAAAAAATGAGTTTATAAAAACACAGCCCCCTCCATTGCAACAAAAACTAAACAACTTGGAAATAAAATAGCTAGAATTGTTAATGACTTATAATAGAAAAAGGTAAAGATAGTTTCCTCAAATACCTACTATTTTAAATACACAGAAAAACATCTAAAAACAAAGTAAATCTACTCTTCCATGCCATCAGCAGAACTCTGCTTATAAAATGAACTCATTCTCCTTGTCAAGTAAAAGTAACTCATATTTCACATTAAATAACACCATGTTAACATTATTACCACAGCATGCTAACAATGTAATTATAAATAATCATGTGTTTGAAATCCAGTATACACAATGTGTGCTTCATAAATGTCCACTTCACAGATAGGCTGATTCTAGACCCTTCTGAACATATATTTGATTAAAAAGAAAACTAACCAGCAAATTAACGGATAAGCAGTATATACACACAACAGACTATATAGTTAAGCCATAAAAGGGTCTCTAGTATTAAAACACTCATATCATAGAAATAAACCTAGAAAACATTAGACAAAATGAAAGAAGTCTACCAGAAATGCATGCTGGAAGACTCCATTTATATGAACTATCTTAAATAGATAAATCATCCACAGATTTACTAACATAGAAGAGGTGGGCAAACCACTGATTAATCACTAAAGAATTTTCTTTTGAGGTAATGAAAATATTTTGGAACAAAAGGTAATGTATCAAAACCCACTGATCTGTTCATTTTCCATACATTTCATTAAAAAGCTTTAAGGCTAACTAGAGGAAAAGTACCTCTCTACATAAGGACGTCTAAGACAATTAAAATATTTCATTAAGATTAAACAACAACAGCAATCCACTTCTGAAACACAATGGTTCATAAAAATTAAAACCTTTGTCTTGGCTTCACTTTAGATAAAGAAAAACACTGAGTAACAAGCGATGCCATGCACTTCCCTGTGCTGTTTTGCTAGTACACTAGTAAGATGAGTTTTCCCACAACTATTTCTTTTCAAAAATAATAAAGGACTGAAGGGACAGCCCAGTAGTTAAGAGTGCTCAGTGCTCCTGCAGAAGACCTGAGCTCAATTCTTAGTACCCACACACTGGGTGGCTCAAAGCCAATCATAACTTCAGCTCCAGGGAATCTAACACCACTGGCCTCCACAGGCACCTGCATTCACAGGCCCATACAAATGAATACGTACACATAATTAAATTTTTTTTAATGAAAATGCTTATTTTAAGTGTAAATAATTTTTTTTAAAAAAGTATCTTTAAAGAAATGTTAGTTTATATAGGAGAAATATTAGCATACACCCCTAATGTCCCTAAGCTAAGCAAATTCTACCTTTTTCTCTAAGTCTTATTACTGTAAGTACCTTATATACATAGAACTACACAGCATTTTTCCTTTTGTGTCTGGCTTTTTTAGGGTTACGTCCAAGGTTCATCTGTATGAAAGTGTTAATCAGAATTTCTCTCTTTTTAAAGACTGTGTAATATTCCAGTGTCTGTGCTTGTATATACATGTATATATACATATACCCAGCCACAGCCCCAGCCCAGAAGCTCGGATGCTCCTCCCTGTCCCAACTCCGCACAGACCCAGGATTCCGACTCTCAGAGCGAAGATGGCCATATATACACACACACACACACACACATTTATTGATTCACTTGATATAGACATATAGATTGTTTCCAGCTCTGGCTACTGTGTGCAAATAAACTATAAAACGGGCTATAAGCAATCATAGATTTTTGGTATAGACTAGAAAAATAAAATAGCACACAAAGTTCTGAATGTACATAGTACTTAGTAATGAACGCTCCATAAACGTTAGTTATTACTATATCCAGTTTGAGAGCATTTACCTCTGCTGGTTGTAGGAACCTGTTTGTTAGTTAATTTTCCCACTTATAAGCGACATATGTAATATGACAATACAACATAAATTGTAAAATAAACAGAATCGTCAGTGTTGCTGAATATGGTATTTAAACCTGATGAGAAAGCACAAATTAATACTTCAAGGAAAACTGAGGATAACAAGAAAACAGGAACTTTAAAATAATTTGGGCTGAGGAGTTTGTGTCTAGCAGGCTGAAGGCTTTGGGGTCAATCTCCAAGACTGCAAAAAGAAAAAGTAAACAGTTTGGATCCCATACACACATTAACTTAGCAATATCCCAGGAATCCTATGATGGAGCACACCATGAACATTAGATGGCAGAATGCTTTCTTCTCTTTGTGGAGAGAAGAACTGTGCCCATTCTCCTCAGAATCTGTTTGCATTACCTCCAAAGTCTTTTCCAAGCTCCTAACACAACTCTTTCCCACCACAAACCCAAAGAACTGTACAGCAGTATGTTTCAAAAGCACACCTCCGCCACTTATTTCTATCCAGTGTCTAGCACATTCTATAAAATAGAAAGTACACCAGATGTTTGGTTAGTTGAACTGGACTCTGGATTTTTAGGAGTACAGTTATCAATGAGATCAACAGTTGCTTCCAGATGCAAAAGTGAGACTTAAGGCTGACTACCTACTCAAATCATAACAACTGCCTATGACAGAACTGATACCTAGGTTCCGTTTTCCAATAAAATTTACAGGATAAACTGTGCACCTATCTGGTTCACACAGCACATACATGAAGTTTATAGTGTATCTTCAAATGCTTTGCATTATAAAACAATATGTCAACCAGTACGTGTTAAAAAACAAATTCTAAAATTAAACTTCACACCAGTCATGTGCCAAATCCCAATTGTACAAGTTCTGAGGGGGGGGATAAATCTTGTACAGCTATATATTATATTAAAGTAGTATACATCAAAGACTTATCAAATTATTCGAAAAAAAGCTCAGAACTCATCAAGCTGGAACCAAAGATGACCATAAATACCAAGCTGATCAGAGTCTAGTAAGATCATCTCAAACCTTCACTCAAGAAAAAAAAAAACAACAACAAAAAGATTTAGCGCTGTTTTTCTCCTATTAACACGCTTAAAGTGAAGTATGTGCAGTGGCACACAGAATCATGAATACAAAGAATGAGTACTGAAATCATTAAAACGGACAATCAGCATACCAATATCCAAAACCACTATCTGTTCAATGCATATTACAGCAAATGCCAGTATGATGGAAGTGACAACTTGCCCTGTAGAAAATAGACAGGTTTCGAATTTTGAGGAAGTTCCTGTTTATAAGGCTAGCGCCACAAAGCGTCGCGACTTGATGCTATCATCGCAGAGAAACCTTTGAATGACTGCTTCCAGCAAGTGAGCTAGAATCGTCAGTGAACAAATGCGAACTGAAGACCTGTCTCCTATGTGATGGTTGGGTTCAGTGACAGAAAGCGTGCGTTTCACCTTCCGGAAACTCACGTGAGCAGGTCCCTAGAATTCGCTGACAGACGCTGCAGGATGAAGAGGGCTATGCGGCCACGGAAGGCCGGGAAACCACTGCGGCCCCACTGAAAGATATTTCGAGCAGGGAGAAGGCGTGGGACCCCTGAGCACAGCTGAGCACAAAGGTGGAAGTGCACCATGTGGGCGCGACCCAGCTACAGCGCCAGCCCAGAAGCTCGGACGCCCCTCACGGTCCCAACTCCGCACCGACCCGGGACTCCGACTCTCAGAGCGAAGGTGGCCATTCCACACAAGAGGCTGACGCAGGCCTCCACTGACACCCAGAACCTGCAGCCCGAGACACCCCTAAGGGATGCTCCCTGGTCTCGGGGCAAAGACCAAATCCAGCGCCACCGCCCACCGCAACCCACCGCAGCCTAACGCGGCCTTCCTCAGCCCGTGCCCTATCCCGCAGGCCCAGCCTGGATAGGACCGGCCTCGATCGAAATGCAGGGCCCCTACTCCGCCCGCAAGGCTCCTGTCCGTTGGAGGAAAGCGTGGACTGTGACCCGAGCAACCCAGGACCACCGCTTCCCCTCACTCACCATGGCGACTCCGGGGACACACAAGCAGCAGCGCCTACTCCGCCGGAGCCGCCCGCCGTCAGGTGACTGAACCTTCCGAGCCCCGCCCTCTCTAGCCCCGCCCTCGACCGGTAGCGGCTTTTTGATTGGCCCACTTAAAGTCTCGCGTGGTTTGGGGGAGAAAGGGCAGATGTCGGTGTGTAGTGGACTGGGCGGGGCGAGAATAGTACAGCGCAGCAGTGAGCTATGGACTGCTGGAAGGGAAGCCTTAGTTAAGAGGATCCTCGGCAGAGAAAGGGCAGCGATAGAACCTTGCGCGCGTCCACTTAGCCTGAGCCAGTGCATCATCGTGTGCACATGCGTAGAAGGAAGACCAGGATTGGTTTGTCAACTTCTTGTCGCAACCAATCTGGACGCGCCGAGGGTGGGTCTTAACCCTCTGACAGTCTGCGCGCGCATTTCTTTCGGCGCGCATTTCTTCCAGCCATGGAGTCGGAGCTGGTACGACGCCTCGCCCCGCGCCTCGGCCTAGCGGATCCGAGTGTACTGAGGTGAGTGTGGCCGTGTGTGCGGGGAGACGTCCCTGACTGGGGCCCTGGGTCCTCCCAAGGCAGCGCCGGAGGGCACTGGCGATAAGGGCATGACCGCACACTGGTCTGAGCGAGACTCGGGCTCAACATCAAGAAAAACTTTGTTGTTGGCTTGTAGAAGATGGTTTGAGAGGACGTGTGTAGTCGTCCTTGGAGCCCTCTAGCTCTGTGGGACGCATTGCGGTTGGAAAAGTCGGAGAGGACCTCTTGTCATTCCCTCGGGTTCGATAATCTGTTTTCAGGGGTGACCCAGGCATGCAGGGCAGACCCTGTGAAAATCACTGTAAATGGCAAAAGCAAGGTAGAGTACAGGATGAAGAGCTGGAGTGATGAGCAGGGCGTAAGGATTCAAGAAAAGGCCCAGTGGCTTTGGGGCTGATTTAGTAGACTGTGCCACGCACGAGAAAATATAGCAAGAGTGGCCCAAACAGCTTCAATTGTCCAAAGCCCTTGAGATTGGGAGGGTCGTTGTAGGATCTGTCTTAGGAAGTAAAGCTACAGCAGGCAAGTGTGTAGGAAGGTCACAGGCCTATTCCCAGGGCTGCAGGCCAGAAACAGGGTGGGACCCAGAACTGTTCTCAAAAGTCGCCAAAAGTGAGAGCCAACCAGTCATTAAGGGAGAGAAAGAAGGAGAATTTGATTTACTCTAATCTGCCTGTTCCAACTCTTTATACTTGTTGAAGTAGTGTTAGAAGGAAAGAGACCTGAAAAAAAAATTTTTTTTGAACGCACTAAGTCTGGAGTCATTTTGGTGCTATCTGAAGAACTTCCCCCTCTCCAAAGGATGTGCATTCTGGGCCCTAAAAGTACTTGCACAGTAGTTAGGTGGAGTACAAGTCCACCATGCTGAATTCAGTTCTTTGCCTAAGTGCTGGCAAAGTTCTGGAACAGTCTTAGTGACCAAATTGCCTTTATAACCAGGAAAGCAGAGGAGTACCTGCGGCTGTCTAAGGTGAAGTGTGTCAGCATGTCTGCACATAGCTCAGAAACCAGCAATGCTGTTATATGCCTGGACCTTGCAGCTTCCTGGAGGAAGTGCCCCTTGGATAGAGTAAGTCGGCTCTACAGGACATTGGAACAAGCTGACGTGACACTGAATCTTCTGTTTCATTTTACTTGTCTTGGTGTCTGCTCTGTTTCTATTCACGGTGCTCTGATAAACTACCCTGATAAATGGAGGTCACGGGAGAGAGTTTTTAATCAAGTTCTAGGGTACAATCTATCCTGACACAGAACTTGAAAAATCTACATGGCATCTCCAGTCAGGATGAGTCTTTGTATCCAATTCCGTTTCTCCTTTCTTTGTACATGCAGGAACCCATGGCAGGAGATTATGCTACCCACAGAGGTCTTCCACCTCCCATAGGCATGCCCAGGGGCTCTTCTTCCAAGTTGTATATCTTCTATAAAGCTCTCTGAGATTTCCCCCAGATAGACCTTATTCCCTACAATGGTGGATTATCCTGCTCTTCTTCCCTTCCTTCCAGATGTACACCTTCCTCACCCTACACCCAACTTTCCTTAATTTTCCCAGTAATTTGTTTTGTGCAGCTGAGACAAGCTATACTGTTTAATTATTTTAAAATTATCTGTAAGTGTGCATGCTGGACCCTTCTATAATATGAATTCTTTAAAATAGCCTGCTTAGAGTGATTGACAAATTTTGGGTTAAAATTACTATATAATTAATACCACAGACTGGAGAAGTGGCTCAGCCATTAAAGGCTAGGCTCAAAACCAAAAATATAATTAATATACCACTTAATAAATATTTAAGAAGAGGAATATTGAATTTAAAATTGTGTGTTTCCTTTCAAAGGCATATTTAATTAAACTCTCTGGTTTGAATAAGAAGATGTATCAGAGCTGTCTTAAATCTTTTGAGTGTTTGCTGGGATTAAATTCAAATATTGGAATAAGAGACCTAGCTGTACAGTTCAGCTGTACAGAAGCAGTGAACTTGGCTGCAGAGATATTGGAAAGGTATGTATAATTTTATAAATATCTATTCTGTGTAAAAGTGTGTGCCTGCATGGTTGGATGTGACCACGTTCGTGCCTGGTGCTCTCGGGTCAGTAGAGGGCATCAAGCCAGTGGACTGGAGTTGTGAATGGATGTAAGCTACCATGTGGATGCTGGGAACTGAGCCCAGGTGGTCTGTAAGAGCAACAAGTGTTCTTAACCGCTGAACCATATCTCCAGTTCCTAAATAAATACTTAAAAAAAAAAAAAAGTTGTTAACAGCACAGTCAGCAAACAAATGCTAACAACAGAGCAGGACAATTAAAGTCGGAGGCCAAGTTTTGTTTTGTTTTCTCAATTGTTTTATTGCATTTTCAGTCCCTTTAAAATATTTTCCTGACAAAATGATTTCACAAACATTGCTGTCTCCTAGCTACGAGTCTAGTCTTCCGGAAGCACAGCGAGCAGACCTTGACTTATCCAGGCCGCTGTTCACCACTGCTGCACTGCTTTCAGCATGCAAGTAAGAGTTCCTGGGCATTGCTCTGTTGGTGGGTTGCTTGCTTGCTTGTTTGTTTGTTTGTTTCCTTGAGAGAGGTTTGCTCTGTAGTACATGCTGGCACTATGTATCATAAGCTAGCCTTAAACTCATGGTGATCTTCCCGATTCAGACTCCCAAATGCTGAGATTTCAAACATGTGTGATTCAACACCCAGCTAGTCTTAAGTGTTCCTTTACCGTTGGGAAATGTTGCCAATGTGTGAGCTTTTCATCCCCAAATACTTATAATTTCATTTTCTTCAGCTCGGCACATTCTGCACTATAACCTGTAACACTGTGGTTTGGTGATGAGAATCTTGGGTTGGCTGATAATATAGCTGCCAACCTAGAACTAGTGTTGCAAGGAGTTTACATGCCAAGTGGCAGCCAGGTCTGAAAACAAGGTATGCTCATTTCAGACCCTACTTTTAGTAAGTATAAATTGTAAATCAGTCAGGACAGTGATCATGTTTGATTTTCCAGGCATACTGTTTCAAAAGTACTGCCTACGCCGGGCGGTGGTGGCGCACGCCTTTAATCCCAGCGCTTGGGAGGCAGAGGCAGGCGGATTTCTGAGTTCGAGAGCTTGAGGCTAGCCTGGTCTACAGAGTGAGTTCCCCGACAGCCAGGGCTACACAGAGAAACCCTGTCTCGAAAAAAACAAACAAACAAAAAAAGTACTGCCTACATCTGTTCATTTTAGTATAAAACATTTCTAAAATAAATTCTTACATTTAAATCATCAGAATATGTAGCTATTAGTATACATGCTGAATTATTCCATGAAATACTAATTTTTTATATCTTTGAAGTAGTGTTATTTTACTTTTCAAGAAAACTTTCTACAGAAAAATGATGTAGTCTGTTAAAGAGTATATATCTCATTTTTCAATCATTTTGTTGTATTTGGCGCTTTTATTAACATACCTAAAAGTGATTGTCATTCATAGATAATATTCTTTTAATTCAACAAGGGTGTGTGTGTGTGTGTGTACAAAGAAGGAATGTAATTGATGTTTAAAAAGAAACTGAAAATCGCCAAATAACTCCATTTTTGGAATCATATTAAACTGAACATGAAATGGTTGATTGTCGTGTGTGTGTGTGTGTGTGTGTGTGTGTGTGTGTGTTTTGCCTACATGCGTTTCAGTGCTCCACATGTGTGCTGCCTGTGGAGGCAAAAAGAGGAGGGCATTGACTCCCCTAAAACTGGAGTTACATGTGGTTGTGAGCTACTATATGGGTGTTGGAATTGAACTCAGGCCCTCCTAAAGAGTAGCACGAACTCTTGACCACTGAGCCATCTCTCCAGCCCCACTTGTTTTGTTTTGTTTTGTTTTGTTTTGAATTGCTTGCTGTAGAGGAATATGAGCAGGATTTGAGCTTTAGGAGGGGGGTAAAAAGATATGACACTGCTGTATAAATAGACACATTCTCAGAGTGAGTTGAACACTTAAAGATACTAAGTCCGTTCTGCAAACTGGTAACATCTGAGAGGCATGAAACTCTATAACAGATGTCTTTATTTGCCCCATTTATGGCTGAACAGATGCATTTTAGCTCTCAGTTTAATAAGCTAAAGCGCTTAAAAGAACAAATTTGCAAGCTTCTAGCTAATGACATTTGGAAAAAAGGAAAATTTAGACAGCTAGAGAATTTTATTTAGTAAAGCGTGGGCAAAGGGTATAGGTTTGTAATCTATTTTACTTGCCCAGAAAACTGGTGATATTGAAAAAAAAGCAAACTTATGAAATTGTTTTTTAGAATTCTAAAGATAAAGGTGGATAAAGCCAAAATGATAACTACATCTGGTGTGAAAAAAGCAATATTTGATCGACTGTGTAACCAGTTAGAAAAGATTGGGCAGCAGATTAACAGTGAGTATTCTGTGGTTGAAAAATGCTGATTTCATGAATTTTTTAGTGAGATAATAAGCATATGTCTGTTCTGCGAATAAAGTGGTTTAGTACCTGTCTTAGTCAGGGTTTCTATTCCTGCACAAAGCATCTTGACCAAGAAGCAAGTTGGGGAGGAAAGGGTTTATTCAGCTTATACTTCTTTGCTGTTCATCACCAAAGGAAGTCAGGACTGGAACTCAAGCAGGTCAGGAAGCAGGAGCTGATGGAGCCATGGAGGGATGTTACTGGTTTGCTTCCCCTGGCTTGTTCAGCTTGCTTTCTTATAGAACCCAAGACTACCAGCCCAGGGATGGCACCACCTACAATGAGCCCTCCCACCTTGATCACTAATTGAGAAAAAGCCTTACAGCTGGATCTCATGGAGCCATTTCCTCAAAGTAGGCTCCTTTCTCTGTGATAACTCTAGCTTGTGTCAAGTTGACACACAAAACCAGCCAGTACAGTACTTTTAAAAAATATGATTCTACAAATCTATGCCGAGAAAATAGATTCCTTTTAAGAAACATCAGTATCAGCCAGGCATGGTGGCACACATTTGCTATCCCAGCACGTGGGAGGCAGAGGCAGAGGCAGGCAGATCTCTGTGTTCAAGGCCAGCCTGGTCTACAGAGTGAGTTCCAGGTCAGCCTGGGCTACACTGTGAGACCCTGTCTCAAAAGAAAGAAGGAGGCTCCAGTGTAAAATGCCAGTATCTGTACTGGCTAGGATGGAAGTGATTCTCATGTCTAACAAAAGAAACAGCCAGAAGGAGAGGAGCAAGATTGTCTGCCTTTCCTTCATCTCTTTTTGCTCCTCTGGGTACTGAGTTTCTGTCATCCAGCTGAGGACTTAGATGACCAAATATAAAATTGAATAGAAAAATTAACCTTGGCTGGGCGGTGGTGGCGCACGCCTTTAATCCCAGCACTTGGGAGGCAGAGGCAGGCGGATTTCTGAGTTCGAGAGTTCGAGGCTAGCCTGGTCTACAGAGTGAGTTCCAAGACAGCCAGGACTACACAGAGAAACCTGTCTCGAAAAACCAAAAAGAAAAGAAAGGAAAAATTAACCTTGAAACCACGTTTTCTTTTTCTAAAAGGAGACTCTGCAGTTAAAGCTAGTTCATCACTGAAGAAAAAAAAGCCAGTGTTTAGTCCAGCACTGAAGAAAAAGAAGCCAGGGATTGAACCACCAGCAAAAGGTAGGGCACACTAGCTGTCTTGGTGCTGAAGTTGATGCAATATGATTTATGCACTGAGCAATCCTGTGACAATCCCGACAGTGTACATGACAAGAGCCAACTTAGAGAAAAGCCTGACTGTTAGTTAGAGAAAAGCCTATTTTTCAAGCCAGGCATGATTTACACACCTCTAATTATTTCTAAGTGCTTAGAAGATAGACATAAGAGAATTGCTGTAAATTGAAGGCCAGCTTGATCTACATAATGAATTCCAGGCCAGCATGGTCTACACGTTGATACCATCTTACAGCAACAACAACAACAGAAGTGTGAGTAAAAATATACCTGAAGTGGCCAAAGAATACAAATATTCCTAATTTTTAGAAATATATCTGGTACAGCATGACATACCTTTAATCCCAGCACTCAGAGGCAGAGCCAAGCTGATCTCTTGAGTTCCAGGCCAACCTGGTATACCAAAAAAAAAAAGTGTGAATGTTGGTAGCTAAACTGCTGTGCCTGGGTTCATATTCTGCTTTACCAGTATTAAAATCTTTAGGTAAATTAAACAAATTCAAGCTGAGACTGACTCATAAATTGGACAACTTCAAACCCAAAATTGGTTCAGAGAACTCCACCCAAGGGTTAAACAGCAAGTCCTAATAGAGTAAACCTAAAAGGAGATAGAAAACATTCAATGGAGTCAAACTACTCATCCACTTTATGTAAGGGTGACTAGTGTGAGGTCCCTGATGGATACCCAGAAAAGTAGCCTTTGTGATTGGCTGCTTTTTTTTTTCTCTAAAAATATATTTCCAAATTAAGTTCTATTTACTTACATAGGAACTCTAGCTACAAAGACAATCCAATATTAATGACTAATTGTTTAACACTATCTGCTGGCTGTGTACATTTGAAAAGGTGACATAATTTCTGCAAGCTTCATTTTCCTAATCTGTAAAATGTGACTAATGTTAGCACCTATGTCGTAATGTTGTGATGGGATTACTTGAGGTACACACTTGTTTGCTGCCTTAGACTGCTTAGAGCATAGGAGAGAAAAGTGAGAGCTACCATGTTACACTTCACTCTAGGGTCTTACTCTCTTACCTTAATTGAAGTCAATACTTTCCAATTTTTACTTTTAAGCCATTTATAAATTTAAGTTTAAAATTACATTTGCTAACTTTCTCTCACAGAAATAGAAGTAATAGAAACCCCACATAAACTACCAAAAGATGAAGATCTGACACAGGATTATGAAGAGTGGAAAAGGAAGATTTTGGAAAATGCTGCCAAAGCTCAAGTAGCCACAGCAGAGTGATTTCTATTTCACTGCAGTCCTGTGCTTCTGTCTGGGAGATGAAAGGTGTGGAGATCTTCTCTAAGCCTGCGTACCAGGTGTGCTGTGGAGTGTCTCCATATGGAGGATGCTAGTACTAGGCACCTCACATGGACACTAGATCAACCGTATTGCCTCTGTAGACTCAGATCTGTCCTCTCCTATGGGGTGAAATTGGGACCATTTTGGTTCTGTTTATTAAGTTTAAGGAAGTTTCCCAACTAAACCTAGAATGCAAATTTCAAGCTGAAAGGCATCTCAAACATTTTATTTGTTTTAGTGTGTTTTTTTAATTTTATTTCACTAAATCAATGTTATATAGCCTAAGTTAATAAATATTTATTTTTTAAAGATTTTTTTAATGTGTATGAGTATTTTGCTTGCGTGTATGTTTGTGCACCACATGTATGTCTGGTGCAGTAGAAGCCAGAAGAGGATGCCAGATCCCTGAGCCTAGAGTTACAGACACTGAGTGCTGCCATGTGAGTGAAGGGACTTCAACCCAAGTCCTCTAGAAGAGCAGCCAGTGCTCTTAACCGCTGAACCATCTCTCAAGCCCAGTAAATGTTATTTTTGTATGCATTTGAGTAGCGATTGTCAGCTTTGAGTAATCTTTATTAGGCCAAAATCTCTATCTACTTAAATTAAGAAAAAAACCCATGTTCCTATATACTAAGCCCACTACCTAGAACACAGACTCAGTCAGACTTCCTGGGTTTAAGACCCAGTCTACTTTGCCACTTGAACAAATAAAATTAACTTCTGTTTGCCCCATCTAGAAAGTGAGAATTAAAAGATACTCCTTTGGCTATAGATGTGGCTTAGTTTCTAGGGTTATTGCCAGACATGAAGCCCTGGGTTTTGATTACCATCACGCCATAAAACCAGGCATAGTACATCCCTGTTATCCCAGCACTTAGAAAGAGAAGCCAGAAGAATTAGAAGGTCAGAGCCATCCTTAGCTACGTAATGAGTGGGATACATGAAACCCTGTCTCCAAAACAAACAAGAACGATCTCACCGCTGCCTAGAACAGCTGGGAGGAGTATCACCCAGTACACGAGAGCTCTATAGTACAGTGTCTGCTCTGAAATAATGCAGAGCCCTGACACAGTGAGTTGCACATTAGCACGTATTAGAAAACAGTCCTCGGAAGTTTATTTCTTTGCTATCCATACACAGAAAAATGTAACCTTAGTAAACCCTTTAACACTATGGAAGGGGCTTTATAGATTTTCATACAATATATTCTGATCACTTTTGCCTTCCATCTTCTAGATACTCCCCACCTTCCCACTCATCCAGCTCCCAACCTTCTTTCTATAGAAAACAGGCAAATAAAAGTACAAACAAAAGGACAAGAAACAAAGACACATGCACAAGGCCCATAAAAGCACAATCAGAAACCCTAATATACAAACAATTCAGTAAGATAAAACGGACAAAGTAATATGAGACAAAAAAAAATGTACAAAAATAACTTAGAGTTTGATTTGTGTTGGCCATCTGCTGCTGGGCACGAGGACTGGCTTTAAGTGTGGTTTATATAAACCCAGTGACACACCATTTGAAAAAAACTAATTTTTTCTTTGTGGTTATCAAATTGAAATGGTTTTTTGGTTAGAACTCATGCCTGCCTCTCAACATTAGAACCCCCCTCCCTTGGACCTGTGCAGGCCCTGTGCATGCTGCCATGTCTCTGTGTTCACATGCCTATCAGTCTTGTATCTGTAAGACATTCCTTGTGCCCTCCATCTCTGGCGCTTACAGTCTCTGCCTTTTTCACATAGCTCCCCAAACCCTGAGGAGAGGAGTCCCATTTAGGACTGCACATTCTAATGTCTCTCTCTGCGCATTGTCCAGTTGTTGGGCTCTGCATTAGCGCCCCTCTACTGCAAGAGAAGGCTTCTCTGATGATGGCTGAGTGAGACACTGATCTATGGGTGTGACAGAATATCATTAGGAGTCATTTTATTGCTATGTTCCTTTAGCAAAACATTATTTAGTTTTTCCCTAGGCCCAAGATCTGTCTGGCCTCAGATTCTTAGCCACTGGGGCGGTGTCAGGCCTGGGTTCCATCTCATGAAATGTGCCTTAAATCCAGTCGGATAGTGGTTGGACACTCCCACAACAGTTGTGCCCCTAATGTACCAGCGTACCATGCGCACAGGTCTTCCATGGTAGATCAAAGGGTTTGTAGCTGGGTTGATGTTTACCTTTCTCTTCTGGGCATGTACAAAGTACTTTCCAATATGTGAACATAATCAGAAAAGGTGAAGACTCTAGTAGGCACCAGCTGGACTTCTACACAATGGCATGTAAGTGTGGTTTACATCAGTAGGGCCTGACCATCAGTTTGTAATAGCATTGGCAGTTGCCACGTTATTTAAGGGTTTCCATGGGGCCTTTGGCCAATGGCTCGATTAGATGTAACTAGCTCTTGGCACTACAGGCTTTGCGTGGTAGCAGATGTCTACTTGGAACATTGTCTTCCTCATCGTTTGATAACACCGTTTAGATTTTATGTAAATGCATGTGTATATGTTTTAAGAAGCTTCTTCTGTAGAAAGTTTTCAGAAGTAGAAGGGCCTTCCTCAAAGGTCCATCTCTCCTCCCTGATGGTTCCTTACTCTATACCTAACCCTTGTGAGTATATGGATTGCAGCATGCCTATGAAAGGCTTAAAACCTAACATCTACATGTAAAAGAATAATACATGAGGGCGGTTAAGAGCACTGACTGCTCTTTTAGAGGTCCCGAGTTCAATTCCCAGCAACTACATGGTGGCTCACAACCATCTGTAATGGGATCCAACGCCCTCTTCTGGTGTGTCACAGACAGGGTACTCATATACATAAAATAAATAAATAAATCTTAGAGAAAAGAAAGAAAAATACATACAACATTTGTTTTTTTCAGTCTGATTATCTCATTAAGAATGATTTTTCCCTAGCTTCATCCATTTACCTGGGAATCTCTTGATTTTCATTATTTCATTTTAATAGCTGAATAATATTCCATTGTGTAAGTGTGTCACATTTTCATCATCTGTTGATGGGCATCTAGGCTGCTTTTAAGTTTTGGCTATTATGAATCGAGCCTCAGTGTACATGGATGAACAAGTATCTCTGTAGTGGGGTGTAGAATCCTTTGGTAGAGAGGTAGAGCTGAATCTTGAGCTAGATCTATTCCCAGCTTCCTAAGGTACTGCCACACTGGTTTCCATAGAGGATGTACAAGTTTGCACTACCACCAGCAATGAATAAGTATTCCCATACCCCACATCTACGCCAGAACAAGCTGTCATAATTTTTTTATTATTACTACTGCTTTTGGCCATTCTGACTGGTATAAGGTGAAATCTCAGAGCAGTGTTGACTTGCATTTATCTACAATTAAGGATGTTGAACATTTCTTTCGGTGTTTCTCAGCTATTTGTGTTTCATCTTCTGAAGAACTCTGTTTAGTATCTCTTTTTTAGTTGAGTTATTTGCTTTCTTAACGTCTAATGATTATTTCTTTAGTTCTTTATATATTTTAGGTATTAACCTTTTCCCATTTTGTAACCTGAACTGTTTGAATGATGGTGTCCACTGCCATACAGAAACTTTCATTCATTTATTAATTTTTGTTCTTAGTGCCTGTGCTATCAATGTCCTGTTCAGAAACTCTTCCACATGTCAATGAGTTCAAGACTGTTCCACACTTTTCTTCTACCAGGTTTGGAGTATCAGGGCTTATGCTGAGGTCATTGTTCATCTGGAGTTTAGTTTTGTGCCTGGTAATAAATATGAGTCTATTTTCATTCTTCTACATGCAGCCTCGGGATGTCTAGTTCCTTGGGAGCAAGCTTGATCTTTGCCATCAGGATATCCAGTCTGACTAGCACCATTTGTTGAATATGCTTTTATTCTGTGTATATTTTTACTTCTTTGTCCAAAATCAGGTGCCCATAGGAGAGTGGGCTCATGTCTGGAATTTTCGATTTCATTGATCAGCATGTCTGTTTTAATGCCAATAGCATGCTGTTTTTAATACTATATCTCTGTGGTATGACTTGAAATTTGGAATGGTGATACCTCTAGCAATTCTTTTATTGTTCAGAATTGTTTTAATTATCCTGGGGTTTGTGGTTTTTTTTTTTTTTTTAATGAAGGTGAAAGCTGTCCTTTCAGTTTCTGTAAATAATTATGTTGGAATTTTGATAGAGATTGCATTAAATCTGGAGTTTGCTTTTGGTAGGATGGCCATTTTCATCATATTAATCCTATATATCCATGAGTATGGGAGATCTTATCTTCTGAGATCTTGTTCAATCTCTTCACTATCTTAAAGTCTTTATCATATAAGTGAAATAACTTTATATATATATATATATATATATATATATATATATATATATATATACTCTCTCTCTCTCTCTCTCTCTCTCTCTCTCTCTCTGTGTGTGTGTGTGTGTGTGTGTGTGTGCGCCTTTCTTGTTTTCTTTGTTTCCTCTGTTTGTTTGGGTTGTACACTGTCCATCTATTCTGATTTGTATGTTTGTTTTATTTGCCTGTTTGTCTTATAAAGAGGTGTGGAGTTGGATGGGTGGGAAGGTAGGGAGGATCTGGGCAGAGATGAGGGAGGAAAACCATGATCAGAAAATATTGTTTGAAAAAATAGATTTTCAAAAACAAACTTCTTGGTAATCTGATGTTCAACATAGAAAAATTTTTGATCATGTCTCCATATGAGACTTTGTTTGGTTTGAGTTTTTGTTTGTTTATTGTCATTATTGTTTTGAGACATGGTCTGTCTACATATCTTTGGCTGTCCCAGAACTCACTATGTAAATAGGCTGGCTTTGAACTCACAGAGTTTGGCCTGTTTTCTGCTTCCTGGTGCTGGGAGTAAAGGTATGTGATGCCATGCCCAGCTCCTTTGCTACAGCTTTAAAGGTTCCTGTCTTCCCAGTGACAAATATTTTTTGATTCACAACATGTCATGTCATCACCTTTCAATGGCATTTATATTTGTGAACAACTATTTTCAAGAGTGAAACTCACCAAAAATAAAGTAAAACCAAATACGGACTAGGTGGATCTCTGTGAGTCTGAGGCCAGCCTGGTCTACAGACTGAGTTTCAGGCTATTACACAGAGAAACCTGTCTCAAAAAAATAAAATCAAAACAAAAAAGCAAAATAAAACAAAACAAAACAAAAACCCAAAATATATGATAACCATTGACCCAATTATTGATGCATGTACTCATTTAGAAAATAGTGTCAATATCCTACTAGTTTTATGGCTTTTTCACTTTTATAGCAAAAATATATAAAGAAAATATTGGTGAAGTTTTATTGCTTAGGTGTACTCAAATTATTAATGATCTCAAACTTGAGACTTGCTCAGCAATTAAAGAGTCTAAAATTTAGGGTCTAAATGGAGCACTATATAATGAGAACTATCACATGCAGATTCTTCTGCCTATCTGTGGAGGTGGATATCATAAAATTATATACATGCCTTTTCTCATCAGCTCTCATTAGTGTCTGTATGTTTACTGTGTGGTCCAAGAGAACCCAAAGAGTCGAGCACCCGCCCTAGATCTAGATGTCAGTTTGCTGCCATGACTACGGCCAAGCTTTCCTATTAGTCACCTTCTTAATTCCTCTGCTTCAAGATGTCAATGACCTTATCAAGCCAAGAGAAAGTAACTATACTCCACTTCACTTTTTTTTTCCAGTTTTTACATTTTCCACTCTTCTGTGGGTTTTTCTGAACCTTGAGGGGTTGATATGCATATACAGTTATGTTTTTCTCTTTAAGCCTGAGTATTGGAATGCTGTTTCAAAACAATAGTGAAGACCACAGTAACAGCCATTGTTCCTGATACTTTGACCAGTTAGAAACCAACTGGAACAAGAACTTCTCTTCATGGCCGAACGCAGCAGCAATATATGGGTGTAAGCACACATGTTTAGAGGACAATTTAATAATTTCCATCTAAGCCAACATTCCTCATTGTGGCCCAAGTCTTTCCTAGTCACAGTGCTTCGTGTGAAGTGGGCTTTAATTCTACTGGAAAACTTATTGTGCCTTCAGTGGTTCATTATAATGTCAAAGGGCACACCTTGCCTGGCATGGTGATAGCGTAACACATAAGTTCCACCGCTGAGCAAGATTGTTGGTGACAATTCAGTAGTCTCTATAGCCCAGTCCTGCATTAGAAATGTCAGCCAGTTAGAGACTCACCTCCACCTCAATTTCTCCATATCCTACAAAAAAATCATGTGGGTTCTTCTGTAATAAAATTGTTTTTCTAGGCCAAGACTAAGAACATAGGAAAAGAATAGCAGAATGAAATAGACACAAGATTTTCTCTAGACCTGCACAGCCCAACACAAAAGCTATCTAAAACAGGCTTATTAATGTTTAAAATATGGGGCTAGAGAGATAGATCAGTGGTTAAGAGCACTGACTGCTCTTCCAGAGGTCCTGAGTTCAATTCCCAGCGACAACACGGTGGCTCACAACCATCTGTAATGGGATTCAGTGTCCTCTTCTGGTGTGGGTGAAGACAGGTACAGTGTACTCATATAAATAAAATAAATAATCTTTTTAAAAATATTTAAAATATCATTAATTCAATGACAAAACTAATTTTCTAATTTTAACCAAGTGTAAAAATGGATACCTCCTTTGATTATTAGAATCAGTTTTAAGTATGTTGTAAAGTATTTGACTGTATGGGTTCATTTTCTACAGTATAGTTTATAAACTCTACATATAGATTCTGTGTGTGTGGCTTGTTTTGCATTTCTATTGGACAAGCTTCTCTAGATCAACGTGGCAACCTGTATGTGTTTCCAGGAAGACTCACATCACCAAGTGTCCTAAGATCCACTATCCTAGACAGAACTCAAGATCCTCTCTAGTCCCCTCTAGAGACTTCCCTTAAACCCTTTCCAGGAAGAGACCTGACACTTTGCCAGATCATTGACTGCCTCACTGAGATGGCCCACAGTCCTGCCTCAGCTGTTCACTCATGGTCATCCTGGAGCAAGGCTTTACACGGTGGCTTTGGAAATCTCAGCATCCTGATGAGGGCTAGCATCGCTGAGGAATAACCTCTCTGCCCCAGCAGCAGAACAACCTCTCTGCACCCAGGCTCTCTGCCAGAAAGTCTTTAATGTGCATGGGGGGTTGGGGGGAGGGGTGGGGGTGAGAAAGCTATAAAACTGGCATACGTCTAACTAAGATCTAAAGGTCACTACAGAGACTGAAAGTGCTGGATGAAATGGGATCTGGGAGGCTGGAAAGACAGCTCAGTGGGTAAACTGTTTGTCAAGCAACTCAATCCCCAGCACCCACATCAGAGCCTGAAATCCCTTGCTAAGCAGCAGAGACAAGAGCACCCCTGGGGCTTGCTGGCTACCAATCTAGCCAAAGCAGGAAGCAAAGAACAATTGAGAGAGACACACTCAACATTGACCTCTGGCATGTAAATGCACACACACACACACACACACACACATTACTAGGTATACTACACACAAGTAAGAAATAAAGGAATTAGAATGGTTTGAATAACATTCTTCTAAACTAATTTACAAGTTGGCAAAGTATTTAAATGCACATGAGAAGTTGGCAATGTGTTAGTTGCTTACCACATTGAGAAATGACATCTCTGTGGACCAATAGCAATGCACATTACAGTGACTACATATACCTCCTTCTACAAATGTCTATTCAGACTATGCACACAGACTATACAGGAGAGCTGGACATTAGTTACCCTTTTCTTCTATATAGTGTGTATCAGTATCCAGACTTACAAGACTAGAAATTCAAAACCAAGAAAGGGGATGTCAGAATGGGTAGGAATTAAAAGAACAGGTAGGGGTACACATCAACTTTTAAAAGCACGTTTAAAATAAGCAAATTTGGTCATGGAGGTGGATAGGTTTTAAATTTTCAAATAATGCTAAAGAAATGTAGGCTGATATTGTGTGTTTTTTGAGGCCTCAAACTTGTAATCCTCCTGTCTCAGATTTTGAGTGTTGAAATTGCATGTATAGCCACTATACCTAGCTGATGCTGTGTGTGTGTGTGTGTGTGTGTGTGTGTGTGTGTGTATGTGCTCGTGCATGCACATGGGTTTCCCAAGACAGAGTTTATCTGTGTAGCCCCTGGCTATCCTGGAACTCATTCTGTAGACCAAACTGGACTCAAACTCAGAGAGATCTAGCCACCTCTGCCTCACGAGACTAAAGGCATGCACCACCACTGCCTGAACAATGTTGATTGCTAAAAGAGAAGTTAAAAAAATATTTAAGGGTTGCTCTCCTCACATATCCTGAGAGCAGAGATCCTAATTTAGTCATAATTCTAGGAATTCTTGACACTGAAAGTCTTTGCACTGGGAGAAACAATGCCTTTCCTTGAAAAAGAATCTACTGAGTTCTTTTTTAAATGATATTTTTTATTCTTTGAACAGTCCATACATTAGTACAATGCATATAGATCATATCCATCTACCTGTTTCCAACTCTCCCTCACGTCCCACGCCACCTCCCTCCTACCTACATGTACCCTTTTTATTTAGTTTTGCTATTAATAACCTCCCCAGTCTAATTAGTACTGTCCATATGCACATGGGTATGTAGCATCCACTGGGGGCATGAACAACTACTGCTGGAGACTGAAGGAGAATGATTCTCCCTGCCCCATCAGCCATCAATTGCCAGTAACTCCACCAACAGAGGTGGGCCTCAGGAGTTTCCTCCCATCCACACTGGAATCTTGGCCAAGTTGGTCTTGTGCAGGTAGCCACAAATGCTGTGAGTTGATGCCTACAAAAGCCATGTCATGTCTTAACGACATGGCATAGGGCCCATCCTCATCTACCAACGCTTACATCCTTTCTGCCCCCTCTTCTGAGACTCAGTCTGAGCCTTGGATAGGAGAGGACTGACTCACCCAGAGCTGAGTGCACAGTTTGCACTTTGATCAATTCTGAATCTTTGCACTATTACCCACTGTAAAAAGAAGCTTCTTTCACTAAAGTAGCAAGCAGCTCAAATCTACTGACTCCTTTAAAAATATATTTTATTAATTCTTTAAGTATTTTATACAATGTGTTTTGATCATATTCATTCCTCACTGTTGGACCTAATTCCTCCCTCTTCCATACCTCCCTTCCTACTGGCTTTTTTAATCATGACAAGTTTAGAATTCAAATTTGACTAAAAGCCAAGTAGGATTTCCCTGCTCATCCTGAGCATGCCTGCTCTTATTGCCAAGGGTGCTGAGGAGGAAGCCGCATGAGACCCAGTGACCTTCCTAGGGATTAAAAAAAATAAAATTATAAAAAAAAAAAAACACTTTCTCTACAAAGAGGGCAACGACAGCCTTTTTCTTTGCTTGCTTTCTGCCTTTTCTTTTTCCTTTTCCCTTTTCTTCTTTTCTTTCTCTCTTTCTTCCTTCCATTATTCTTTGCAAAATAAGAAGAATTAATAATAGCAAAGCGCCAGACTACATAAAATCTTGAGTAATCTCTTCATATTACCACTTTGTGTTGCCTCAAGAGTTCCTGGGCCGAGTGGACCAGTGGAGTTGATCATTAGGGACATGTTGGAAATTTCCTTAGCCTGTTGACGGCAGTCACCACGTGGAAATGTTTCTTGAAGTAAAAAGGGGAGGAAGATAAAGAAAAGACACATCTTTAGATCAAGTACATAAGAAACGATGGGAAGCCAAGTCTAGGCACCTGGGCTAGTTCAAATCTATGTGGAATGGTGGGTCTCTGGCTTCTGTGCCTTCTCTTTTCCTTCTGTTTGTTTTGTACAATTCCAATGTGTTAGTTTTTGTTTTGTCTTGTTATATTTTATATTTTGTTTTATTTTATTGGTTTTTCAAGACAGGGTTTCTCTGTGTAGCCCTGGCTGTCCTGGAACTCACTCTGTAGACCAGGCTAGCCTTGAACTCTCGAACTCAGAAATCCACCTGCCTCTGCCTCCCAAGTGCTGGGATTAAAGGCGTACGCCACCACTGCCCGGCTATATTTTATTATTATCTACTAGAAGCCTAGTTTTTGTTTAGTTGGTTCAGTTTCTCTGTGTAGCCCTGGCTGACCTGGAACTCACTCTGTAGACCAGGCTAGCCTTGAACTCACAGAGATCCACCTGCCTCTGACTCTTGAGTGCTGGGATTAAAGGTGTATGCCATTACTTGTTTGTTTTCTAATGAGAGGCAGAACGGGGTGGGGGGTTGGGGGAGTGGATCCAGATGGGAGGGGAGAGGAGGACCTGGGAGTAGGAGAGGGAAAGGAAACTGTAACAGGGATATATTGTGTGAGGAAAAACTCTATTGTCAATAAAAGGAAAAAAAACAAACAACAAACAAACAAAAAATATCTATATATTTTATAGATAGGGAGATCTGGTTTCCAGAATAATTGAAAGTCACTTTCTGGGAACATGTTTGAAAAGAAAAATTATATTTTGCCCTTTAAAGTGGAAAGTAGAGCTCTCTAGAACATATTTTAAAATTGTGACTCATAAATCATTAGCGGGTCATCAAATTCAACCTGTGCACTAGAAAGTGTAGCAGAATATTTCCCCCTGCTAATTTTACAATAAACTCGGTAATTTGGGAGGAGCTAATGTGGGAGGAGTAAGGAGAGGAAGAAGAGAAGGAAGAGGAGGAGCTAGCGGAGAGAGAAGACCAGGAGAAGAGAAGATGGCAGAAGATGTGTGTGTGACTCTAATAGTCTAAGGTAATTGTAAGATCTAGGTTAGGTATTGGGTAACACCTCTAATTGTGTGGGCATCTTGTTAGTTGAGCATTGCCAAGTATATAAAGCCATTAGACAATCTTTAAGCATCAGAGTCTCATTTCTACCAGGTACTGCATGGATGGCGGGTATTGTCTGGGGTTCAGCCAAGTTTTGCAAAGACAGCGTGGTGGATTGGCTGATCTAGCCACCATGATGGTGTCTCCTGGGTGCCAGGACCGGTGCATTTGGCCAGCATGAGCCATGGTCAGAGTTGAGCAGCGGTGGGAGCACACCGTTGCTCTTGGCCTCAGGCCTTGCCTAGTCAGGAACATGGTGGCCCTGTAACAATAAGCCAGATTGGGTGCTGCCATTTTTAAATATCATTAACAAGAAAGAGCTATAAACAAAGATGGCATAGGGAGGACAAAAGACTATCCTGCACTAGTGAAGTCATGTAAATAAATGTTTGCTTCCCACAACTGTGAAGGAACGCTCCTAAGGAAAGAGGTTTGGGTTTCATCGTGTGATTCTGAGTTGGAGGAGGGAGTTGTGTGGGGTCTTCTTATTGTTTATTTGTTTGTTTTATGCTGAGGGTTGAACCAAGAGCCTCACACATACTGAGTACACACTGAGCCCAGTACAAAAGCCTGTTGATTTCCCCCCTCCCCCATGGGGGCTCTAAGTCAACACCAAAATTTTAGAAAACTAGTTCCTTGGAAAACAATTATTGTTAAGATAGATTCCATGTAAATGGTACCAAACAAATCTGTGGTGAACAACATTTAAAAGCTTTGAAGTTTAATATGGCTTTCCCGTCTTGCTTTCTAAAATGTGATAGAATCAAGTCCCAAGGCTACACACAGCTAAGCCCAGGTCCTCCAAACTGTTATCACTGAAAGTATATTCTCAGTTTCATCCTGGTACTCACAAATTCAGATAACTTTTATACTGTTGGTTTCTGCTCTGTGGCATTTTTAGTTGTTCTTTTTTTGTTTAGAACCTCGTCTAGCTATGTAGTTCTGTCTGTCCTGGAACTTGGTATGTAGACTACGCTAGTCCTGGAACTTGGTATGTAGACTAGGCTAGTCTTGAACTCACAGTGATCTGCCTGCCTCTTCATCTGGCTCTCAAAGTCCTAGGATTAAAGGTATACATCATCACACCCAAACCCATGGCATCTTTTAATGAAGCTAGCAGCTATGGCACAAGAGAGAAATCTTCCCTTTAAATAATACTTATGTTTAAAATCTATGTACGAGGAAAAACTTGGCTGTAGTTCTTTCAAATGCAGCTTTTACTGAAGAAAAACCAAAGTACCTTCCATTTACTCTGGGCCATATATTTCTGCAGCAGTAGTTGGGATCTGAGGCGAACATTGGAGCCCGAGGCTTTGGCAGACAGGTGATTTAACCACTCATGTTTCAGGCACTGTGTGGCACTCATCCTACAGCTGTGGAGTCAAAAAGCAGCAGAACCATTGAGTTGAGCTTGCCTTTTCAAGTTGTCTAAATGTCTGTTCTGTTGGGTGGAAAGTCTGAGTCTACGGTTCATCATTCCGGCAGATTCATACCACACTCTCAAACCTCCCCTCCTTACAAAAGCCAGTGAGAGCTGTCAGGGAAAAGTTCCCTGACCTCTACAGAAGACTGTGTCCTAGTGACTCACCACCACCTCCCACAGAGGGCTGGGAAGCTAAGGCAGAACAACGGGAGGCCAGCTGCTACTAAGATTGCTCTTAGGAGAACAGGATGCCTGAACAAAGCCCATTTCTCCTGGCAGAGTAGAGCATTAGCCAGCTCATCTGAATTACAGGTTGGGTTTCCTCACTCAGAAAGATTTTACAGTAAGAAACTGAAGATCTATCTGTGAGCACTGAGCTGTCCTGAAGCCTGGACGTTTGGGCCTTCCTCCTTGGGTATACTTTTGTGTCAATATTGTGTCAAGTTCCAATTATTCTATGTCTGAGTATCAAAAAAAAAAAAACTCAACAGCTCAATGTATGACTTTCATAAAGTTGCTTGTGTCAGCTAGTTTTAAGTCAACTTGAAGCAAGCTAGGGTCATTTGAAAGGAGGGAACTGCAACTGAGAAAATGCCTTCATAAGTCAGGCTGAGGCAAGCTTGTGTGGCATTTTCTTGATTAGTGATTGATATGGGAGGGACCAGCCCTTTGTGGGTGGTCCTGGGTTCTATATAAAAGCAGACTGAGCAAGTAAGTCAGTAAGCAGCACCCCTCCATGGCCTCCACATTAGCTCCTGCCTCCAGGTTCCTGCCTTGTTTGAGTTCCTGCCCTCATTGCTTTGGATGATGAATTGTTATACAGAACTGTCAATGAAATAATCTCTTTCTTCCTCTATTTGCTTTTGGTCATGGTATTTCATCACAGCGATAGTCACCCTAAGACAATGCTGAAGTCTAATAATGCCTTTGTGACCAAGAAATGAAGTACTCGAATCTGTATTCCGAAGGTAACATCTATATACCTCAACTTTTTTCAACATTAGCTTATTGTAAGTGATAACTTGGAAATAGGACTCATTTCTAATATAACTCTTTTTAAGACTCTGATGTCTAGCTGCTGCCCCTTCTAATATTCCAAGCAAGTAGCAGACTAAGACATCTCTCAGGAAGAAAGGATTCAGCATACCACACAGATCAGGGCCTGTTATAATGGCCACTGAGTGACCACCAACTAAAAATACCTCTTCTCTTTGACCAGCAACCGGGAAACAAAGTCCTTGGCTTCCTCTGACAACCCTTTGAAGGTATCAGCATCGAAATCCCAGCTGCAGTTGACAATAAAATTCATGGTCTCTGCATCTGTTTCCCCTAGAAATGGGGACAAACCACTGAGTCTGTGGAGAAGAGAAAGGACCATGAGTCAGTATATCACAAGCTCTGCTTCTGTAACTTCTCCATTGCATATTGGTTCTGCATGTTCACATGAAGGTGGGAGATGGGGAAGAGGATATTCTGAACAATCTCCTATCTCACACAACTCTTTCCTTATCTCTACAGCAATAGTTCTCAACCTTCCTAATGCTGCCACCATCTTATAGTTCCTCATGTTGTAGTGACCTCCGACCAGAAAATTATTTTCATTGCTATTTCATAACTGTAATTTTGCTACTGTTATGAATTATAATGTAAATATCTGTGTTTTTCAATAGTCTTAAGTGAGCCCTAGGAAAGGATTATTCCACCCCCAAAGGGGTCGCAACCCACAGGTTGAGAACCACTGCTCTAGAATAGCTGTAAAGTGTATTCTAATACAATGTGTCCACAAATCAAGTGAATATTTATTTATTTATTTTTGTTGTTGTTGTTGTTGTGTTTGTTTGAGAAAGGATTCTCTAGTTGTCCCTGGATAAGCTGAAACTCACTACTATGACAAACCAGGGGCCGGGCGGTGGTGGCTCATGCCTTTAATCCCAGCACTTGGGAGGCAGAAGTAGGCGGATTTCTGAGTTCCAGGCCAGCCTGGTCTACAGAGTGAGCTCCAGGACAGCCAGGGCTACACAGAGAAACCCTCTCAGAAAAAAAAAAAAAAAAAGACAAACCAGGCTGGCCTTGAACTCATAGAGATCCTTGGGTCTTTGCCTCCTGAGTGTTTAAAGACATGAGCTACTATGCCCAATGTGTATATTTATTTGAAAAAAGCTTTCTATTTCTCTGAGACAGGCTCTAATACATATTATTGTTCTTCAAGCCCATGAAATATTGGCTTTACTAGGCTCAGGCTAAGACAGAGAGGCAAGATAACCTAACTGACTGAGTAAGGCTTTAAACTTCCCCTGCCCGATACAGCAAACACAATGTCTTTTATAGTTCCCGGGCTATAAAAGAAAGCTAGCTAAGCATGGGTGAATGACTGAGCAAGAAGCAGCACTCCTCTATGTTCTTCAAGTTCTTGAGCTCCTGCCCTGTCCTCCCTCAGTGTTGGCAGTATCTGAACTTCTGTCCTCCCTAAGTTGCCTTCATCCGAGTCTTATCATAGCAACAAGAATGAAAGTAGAAAAGGCTTAAGAAAATAGCTCAGGAAATCTAGTCAGAGAGAGACAGGGGGCCAATCTATGTCAGAAGTGACAGAGTCACCCAACACTGTAGTGTACCCTCATGGTCTCTATGAATTCCCTTGGGTAGAGTTCCTATTTGAGTCGCCTTAAAGAAAGGAACCTCACTTGAGAAAATGCCTCCATAAGATCTGGCTGTTGGCGCATGCCTTTAATTCCAGCACTTAGGAGGCAGAGGCAGGTGGATTTCTGAGTTCAAGGCCAGCCTGGTCTACAGAGTGAGTTCCAGGACAGCCAGGGCTACACAGAGAAACTCTGTCTCGAAAAACAAAAACAAAAAACAAACAAACAAACAACAAACAAGATCTGGCTGTAGGGCATTTTCTTATTAGTGGGGAAAAGCCCTGCCCATTATGGGTGGTGTCAATCCTGGGCTAGTAGTCCTGACCCTTCTGCTTCTATAAAAAAGCAGACTGAGAAAGCCACAGGAAGCAAGCCAGTAAGCAGCATTCCTCCTCCATGCTCTTTACATCAGCTCCTGCCTCCAGGTTCCTGCTCTGTTTGAGTTCCTGTCCAGACTTCCTTTGATGATGAATAACAATATGGAAGTATAAACCAAATAAACCCTTTCTTCTCCAACTTGCTTTTTGGTCATGGTACTTTGTCCCAGTAACAGAAACCCTAAAACAGCGAGTTACTAAAAATAAATAAAGTTTGTTTAGATCAGTTATACTTAATAGATAATGGTCCTCAAACTCTTCAGAGCCCTACCAAATAAAAGTGTTTAATTTTAAAAAAGTGTTTATAAAGTGTTTAATTTAAAAAAAAAAGGCTTCCCATGATAGAGATTCCAGCTCCTTGAAGTGACTTTAATGTTTCCAAAGAAGACAATGGAGCACAGAAGACTTCACCTGGATTATGGGAATGCTGACCACTGGCAAAGAACTACCCCATGTCTCACCCACTGCCAGGATCCTGACAAAACTATGGACACTGTTGGGTTGACAGCCCCACTCTGCCTTGCCACAGCAAGTCAGTTTTTCCAGGTTCCTCCTCCACAGGAAAATCTGGGTGTGGCAGCTGAAGATGTAATCCTATGTGGCAGCCAAAGATCTATGATCATTGGCTCCATTGAAGCCATCAAGATTAAGGGAGCCTAGCATAACCATCCTGGGCGAGTAGTCCTGGCTTCTATAAGAAAGCAGACTGAGAAAGCAACAGGAAGCAAGCCAGTAAGCCGCACTCCTCCATGGTCCTTACATCATCTCCTGCCTCCAGGTTCCTGCTCTGAGTTCCTGTCCTGACTTCCTTTGAAGATAACAGCAATATGGAAGTGTAAACCAAATAAACCCTTTCTTCTCCAACTTGCTTTTTGATGGTTGGTAAATCTATCATTTTAATTGATACATAGGCTATTTGGATTATACTTCCTGTTATAATTTATCCTTCTCAGATCTCTGATAATGATGGCTTATTGTAGCTTTATGTTAGAGGCAGCGAGCACCCAGCTTCTTCCTCAAGGATGCATGTAGCTGACTGTTCAGTTTAGGCTTCACTTTTCTAGAGCTACTGGGTCTCTAGCTGAGAAAGGCAGATACCATTTACCTTGCTGGAAGACTTCACCCTGAAAGAGAGAAACTTACAAAACATGTTTCAACATATATTTTTTTTTTTTACTCTTCCTTTATTTAAAGGATCTATGCAATTACTGCTCTCAGTAATCAATCACTTGTGTCTTGCCAGGAGCCATCTAAGAGAAGATAAAAACTAGCAAGTAATCTTCCTGAGATGGTTCTACCATGGATTAAAATCTACAATGGATTTGCTCCTTTAGGCAAGGCTGAGGAGAATTTCATTTTAGGAAAGATTCCTGCTATTAATATGCTTTTTGTTATTTTTAAATATATATAACAATCACTAGATATTAACCCACTCTTTTGAGCAGATTTCTGCAGAACAACAAAGATGTACTGTCTTGTAGTGATGCTGTATAGACAAATAGGTGACTTCTTAATTCTTAATGATGATCCTATAAGAATTCTTAAGATTATACTAGGAATTATTAAGCTCTTTTATAATAGGATGACTCTGATAATCAAGACTGCACTGAGAACTCTGATAGTCTTCAAGTGTCACAAGTTAATTGCTACTGATATAGCAAGCAGGCATCTGCAACTTAGAGTACATTCCAAGAGGTTGTAAAACCATTAACCAAAGGTCATAAAAATGGAACTAACGGTTTACTATAGGTGCAAGGACAGAAGATAAAATATTGATTGGGTTTACCTATACAAAACTTCACTAATAACTTAGTCACAAAAGTTATGTTTTTTAACTCTGCATGAATCTGCAGAGCTGGTAACAGATGATGAGTGTTTAGTCAGATAATTACTGTTAGTGGATATGTGTATAAACATTCTCTGTTGTAACCTTCTTATTCAATTTATGTTTTAACTTCTAGTGAACTTTTATTAAAAAAATTAATTAATTAAAAAGAAAAAACCAACCGAGGTGGTGGGGATGCATGGGAAATCCATGTGATCTATTCTCCTAGCAAAGGTACAAAAGACTAGGAAAGATCATATTGGAAGCTATAACACTGGAGAGAGAGCATTGCGGGTAAGGCATTGAGAGCAAGAGCATTGTTACATCAGAGCAGGAGGAGAGAGCAAGATTAGGAGGAGAATGCAGAATGGAATAACTTCGAAATTATAAGGCAGCTTAAAATATTAAGAGAGCAGTATGCAGAATGCAGAGGGAAAGATGAAAAAGGAAGAAGCTGGAAAGAGAGCTGAAGGAGCAGGCAGGCTTCTCCTTACCATGAGACAGAACAGGTATTTTCTTAATAGCACAGCAGGCTTAGTCTGACTAAAGAGAGCAAAGCTTTCGTCTTACAGACTTGGGTTTAATTCATTTAGCAATAAAAGGGTAGAAGCCTTTTCTTTCTCTATGAAATAAAGACTGGAGTTCATTTTTTATCTAAATGAGTGAGTTCTTTCTGCACTAGTGCTTGGTCTTTTGCTCCATATACATATCTGAGCATGGATGTGTGTGTGTGTGTGTGTGTGTGTGTGTAATTATGAGATAAGTATGTAAGCTGAGCCCAACTAGTTTGAATAGAGATTTATGAATATGTATGCATGAATCTATATATGAATTTATGAGTTTAATCCATATTTGCTTGTGTAAAAGTTTTTCCTTTTGTCAGCATGATTCTCTTTTCCCGGTTCAATAGAAGATTTTTGCTCCAAACTTCCCACCCAGACTGACAGGTGAGAAGCATTTGGACAAGAGGGAGAAGACTAGCAATTAATCCTTTACTTAATCTCCTGCTGTTTTATGATGAGGTGCTAATTGCCAGAGACAGTTTCTGGCCCAAAAGGACCTCCCTCAGGCATATAAGCTACAGTAGCAAAATGACTTATCTTTAAGATAGGTAAATGTTTTACTATTATACAGAATCCCTAAATATAATGTAAGACCAAGTCTTGCACTCGGATGCTCTTCCCCATCCACTGCTTCGAGAAGCAACAAAAAAGAACAGCAGGGGCTGGCCCCTGGCAGTGTCTCATGACAATCAACTAGATGGAAAAAGAAAAGGTTTAAAAGAAAATGGTTAAGTTGTGAGGGTCTAAGAAAGTAAACACAAGATGTAAAGGTTTAAGTTATGTAAAAAGTGAGAAATGTTTCAGGTTTCTTCCTCTCTGTGCTATTGTACTAAGACTTCAAAAGTTCAGTTTTAGCAATCAGTGGAGTCCTGATAAGCTATTAATCTAGCCTGGTAAAGCACTGACTGCTATTATCATAATCACAGGCTCAAAAGTTTACATTTCTTTTGGTTGTCTTCTAAATATGGACTTAACAGTGATTCTCATTGTGTTGAAAACATCTCTGTCCAATCTATACACCCAGCCCTCTGGACAGAGGAAAGCCAATCTATACACCCAGCCCTCTGGACAGAGGAAAGAGTGTTAATGCTTTCGAACCATTTTTTTTTTTTGGATTCCCAAGCTTTTCTATGAGTCAAAGGCGTGAATCTCCTTCCTTTTTTACAATGTGGATTACAGATTACAAACAGTGGTAATGCTAATATATCCAAACTTATATCCTTTTCTGGAAACTTAAAAAATTTATATAAGCTTCAGATAGCTGACTGACTTGGTTCTGCCTCTTACAGCTCAAAGGGACTAAAGACAAGTACTCACATCAGTCAACAGCCTAAGTTTGCCCACCTCCCTATTCCTGAGGATGGAGTTTCTGTCTGTCTCTGTCCATCTGTCTCTGTCTCTCTCTTTCTGTGTGTGCATGTGTGCGTGCATGTGTGTGTGTGTGTGTCCCCCTCTCTGTGTCTTTCTTCTTAAAACTTTCCTGCTCCAACTACCAGGACCACTGGTCTAGAAGTTTCAAATGTTAATTCAAGTTAAATAGTTTCCCCTAAACTCTTGAATTTTACCTTTCCCTAATCTACACCTGTCCCAGCAGGTTTCTGTGAAACACAACCAACTGGTTTGTTTGTTTGTTTGTTTGTTTGTGAAGAAGCTTCTGACCAGGGGCTAAACTCCAATTCCAGGAGGAAAACCACAAAGTCCACTTGAGCAAACATCCTATGGCAACAACCCCGCACCCGACTAGAAACAGTCAGTCAGGCTATAACAACAGGGTCAGGATACATATAGATAACCTAAGACATTCTTCACAAATAGATAACCTAGCCATCCTGTTTTTTAGGTGGTTTTGCCCTCCACCAACCATGTTTGATTCCTACAGATTACTCCAGAAATGCAGTCTTTAAAATATTAACATGCTGACCCATTTGGAAATTCTCCAAGCTTGCTGTAACCACAGTCAATACCCTGTGCCCCTAAGCTTGAGGTTCTCACTTCTAACCTGTTGCAATGGTGACAATGAGAGTCCTTGCTCACAAGCTCCTAATAAAGACCCTCATGTATTTGCATTGGAATTAGCTCCTCGATGGTCTTTGGGATGGTCTTTGGCGGGGAGAGGGGGAGGTCCCTACGACTTGGGCATAACAACTTCCAATTTTAACTCAGATTCAGTTATCACAGTTATCATCAACAAAAGGCTGGGATGTTAGATCTCAATGATCACCCCACCCAAAACAAACAACAATCAATCAAACAAACAAACAAACAAACAAACAAAAAGCCAACCTAGATGCCTATTTAATCCATCAAAGCAGATGCTGGCTCCCTCTCCCAGTAGTACTCAGTACCTGTGGCTCCTCCCAACACGTCTCACCCTGATCCCTACACTAAACCTCTCGTTCCCAAGGGCTGGCTTTCCTTCCCCCAGGTTCTCTTCCTATATAAAGTCAGCCATTTTGACTGTGCACTTCCATGGCTCCCGCTTCCTCTCTTGGTTCCCACGCACTCTTGATGCTCTTGATTGGGGCTCCTCTCTTAGTCTACTTTCCCAATCCCTTCTTCTGTTCCTCCTTCCATCTTCCTACCACCCCCACAACCCAGTTCAGTCTGGACTCTTTCAGATTTCTCTCCCTCAAATCTACAATAAAACCTTCTCTACAACCATGTGTAGGAATGGTCTTGTACTTATTCTCATTTGGTAGCTAGAAGCAAGCTCCATCTGTAGCACACCCTTAGCTAGCTGCTTTTCTTCTATCTCACCACCCTGCTCCTCTATCAATGTTCCTGACAACACTTGCCAAATTGTGTTTTTCTGCTTCTAAAAGTACCAATGTAAGATGGATAGCCCAAGCCCCACCCAGTACCAGCCCCCTGCCCTTTCGTTCCCTCCCCCCAGTACTCACAGCATGTAGGTGATAACTCCCACACTCCACATGTCTGTTGGAAATGACACAAACTCATAGTTAACAACTTCTGGGGCCAGGAACTCTGGAGTACCAAAGTTCACCTTTAGCTTCTCCCGAGGCTTGTATCTGAGAGAAAAAGAGAAGAGTTAAGGACATATGAAGGGAGAGAATGTGGGGCAAATGGAGATCCTGGAAGGAAACACTTCCCCACCCTACCTGTCAGGTATGTTGCCTGGATCCCACACTCACGCTACACAAGTGGTTTTCTGGGGGAATAATCATACACTCAGACATGCCTTCCAGCCTCTCCATGTTGGCTTACAGACAATTCCGCTAGGCTCCACCCAACAGCCACCTGCAGCCACCTGTAGACACCTGCAACCATCTGCAGCCACCTATACCACACGACCCAGGTGCAGCAGCCCATAAAGACTGTTCACTACCCCACCCTCTCTCTTCTCCCTCTCCCTCCTTCCTCTCTCTTCCCCCTCTCTCTTTTTTCTCTCTCTCCTCCATCTCCCTCTTTCTTTCTCCCTCTCCCTCCTTCCTCTTCCTTCTCCCTCTCCTTTCTCCTCCCTTTCCCTTTCTCTCTCCTCCTCTTCCTCTCCGTCTTTCTGTGTTCCTACATGTTCCCGACCTTTTTTTTTTTTCTGTCCTTCTCTCATTCTTTCTCTGCCTCTACCCCTTTCCAGGCCCCTCCCACTCCCTTCCCCCTCAATAAATCTTTACTCTAGGCCTATCGCAGACATGATTCCTCAGGGGACACCTTGGCAGGGCCTGCCAAGGTATTCACCACACACATACCACCGCTTTACAATGTATAACAAGAAAACTACAGTCCTAGCCACTTACAATCTGAAGATGATAAATTGACATGAAACCACATGAATAAGTACAAACAAATGTGACCAAAGCTTCTGGAGAGCAACTACTTTGTTGGTGTTCACATGTGCCAGAGGGGTCATAGTAAGAAAAGGAAGGGATGGACATTATCGACAATCAAGAGGGAAATACAAATTACAGCTACAATGTATTTCCATGTGCAGCCATATAAATGTCTATAGTACTAAATGCACACATACATACAACAGAGGAAGAAAAATATAGCATGTGTTGACTAGAATGTAGAGAATTCAGATCCTTTATGCAGCGTAAGTGAGTGAAATGGAGCAGATGCTGCTGAAATCAGAAAAGTGAGCAGGGTGTGGTGTCTTCAACTGTGATTCCAGTACTCAGGAGGCTAACACAGCAGAACTGAGGTGAGTTTGAGACCAGGATAAGTTACACAACAAGTTTAGGCAAGCTTAGAAACAGACTCTGTCTCAACAAAACAAAATCCAGAGAGGCGACTAATAAAAAATTTAAAAAATAGAATTATGTAATCGAGCAATTTTTTGAGCATGTACTCAAAAGAATTAAAAGTAGAGCTCCAGGAGAAGCTGTGTGCTTTGCTGTGCCCTATTTTCATACCCTGTGACCTGAGGTGTGAGAGTCCTTCCACTACACGTAGAAATATCTTGAAATCAGCTTCACTTCACTGATGCTGGGGCTGGCCATAGGAGTTGCTTTGCCAATAGAATGTGAGTAAAACTTCACTGGGCCAATCCCAAGGTAGGCCACAACTGTTCCTGTGTCACTGTCACAAGAAGAGAATGAGAGACACAGTGCACATCTGACTTCACTGAAGCCTGGAGAGATGGCTCATTGGTTAAGACCCAGGTCCAAGGCAAGGTGTGGTGGTGTACGACTTTAATCCCAGCACTTGGGAGGCACAGGCAGGCAGATCTCTGTAAGTTTGAGGCCAGCTTGGTCTTCAGAGCCAATACCAGGACAGCCAGAGATACACAGAAACCCTGTCTCGAAGACAAACAAATTAAAAAAAAAGCCAACAAACTAACAAAAGACCTAAAAACCAAAACAAAAGACCCAGGTTCAATTCCCAGAATCCATATGGTGGCTCACAACCATTAAAACTCCAGTTCCAGGGGAGTCAATACCCTCTTCTGGCCTCTGTGGGCACTGTACACATGTCCAGAAATACATACAGGCAAAACACCTCCGTGTGTGTGTGTGTGTGTGTGTGTGTGTGTGTGTGTGTTAAAGCTAACTAGCTCAGTGATCTCAATTAGTGGTCTGTAGGTAAATGTTCAAAAGTAGCTGTCTAGACTTTTTATTTTTTTATTTTATTTATTTATTTATTTATTTATTTATTTATTTAGGTTTTTCGAGACAGGGTTTCTCTGTGTAGCCCTGGCTGTCCTGGAACTCACTCGGTAGACCAGGCTGGCCTCGAACTCAGAAATCCGCCTGCCTCTGCCTCCCAAGTTCTGGGATTAAAGGCGTGTGCCACCACCACCCGGCTAGACTTTTTAAAAAACCTAATCTGCAGTAATTGCCAAGTTGGGTGATCTAAATACTGATTTCCGCAGGCTAGTGTCAATGGCCCATCATGAAGTTACTGAATGATAAGATTCAGTGACCTATCCATTAACACTCAAACTTTTGAGCCTAGCATTCAAGATTCTTCTTTAGTAGTCTCAGCCTATACTATGCTCTCCCTAGTTCAGCCTGCTCATACTCACACCCTGGTTCTCAGGCCATAACTAATGTCATCTCCCATGATTCCCCTCTACAGCTCCTGTTCAAGCTGGCTCAGGCTCTCAGAAGAGCTCTAAAGCTAACTGGGTTCCTCAATTTGCAAACACTGGAAACTATAACAAATCAATCCTGTATCCCCACTCCCCTCCTCTTCTGAGCTGGTAAACATTCATCAGAATCACCACTACCTGCTCCTGACAAATCCTGTCCGTGAGAAGCCTCCCTCATAGTGGTTGCTTCTTGCTCTGAATTCAGTGTGTCACTGTAAGTGGTCATATGATAACTGGTCACCTGGCATTCTAGTGTGTCCTGTAAATCTTGAATGTACATCCTACCAAGCACAATATTATACCACAGGCATCTTAAAAAGAGGAGCTTTGGGTTGCCAAAAGTTATTTGGCTATCATGGCTTTGCAAAGGGCCAGAGGACAAACACAGACGCACAGTGTTTCTATGGCACTGCACTTCATGGAGTGGAGGACACAGTGAGTATGAAAACCAGTCTAAAAGGCTGCTGGGGCAGATGGTGATGAGAACTAGATTGTCTTGTATAAGACACACTTATGTGAAAAATAATCCCAAGTTTAGAAGACGTTATTTAGGAATCGATGAAGCAGGTTTCCTCCATCATTGGTTGTGATTTTTCATGTGTGTGGGTAGGGGGTTATATTGTTCACTGAAGGTGGTAGCAAATTTCTTTTGTAGCAACAGCATGGGGGCAATGAAATATACCTTTCATTCCTGCAAATAGATAACATTTCAGCCCATGGAAGAGTGGCCCCAAAAGACTGTCACTGCAGTTCAGGATGTTTCCTGGAAGCAGGGGCAGAAGCCAGAAGCTAACCTGGTGAGGAGTTCAGCTGCTATGTGAGTGGTGGGGGAAGAGCAGGACATTCAGAGCGCAACAAAGATGGCTCCTCGTGGGAAACAGCCATCAAGACCACAGACAACCTGGCCACAGAGACACACACACACTGAAGAAGGAAGATCAAAAGTCAGAGGCCAGCCAAGGGAGACATAATGAGACCTTGTCTGAAAAACAAACAAACGAACAAAGCTATGTGGCACATGCTGTAATCCCAGCACTCGGAGGCAGAGTAAAAATCAAGACTTAACCATCAAAGTCAGCCTAGCTGCAGAACAAGTTTGAGGCCAGGCTGAAACTCGTCCACAACCACAGCCAAAACAAAACAACAAAAACAAGAGACAAGAATGAAGGAGGAAGGAGGAGGGGGAGGAAAGAAAAGAAAAGGGAAATGTCAGAAAAACTTCAGAAAGAATTGAAATTCAGCTACTATATTCAGAACTATCCAGATAATATGTGATTTCCCGAGAATAATCATTCTTAGAGGAAAGAAAATTGGAGGAAAGCTTGAAGGATGGGCATTCAACTAGTGAATCAATTTTAGTTAGCATCCTGATTGAGACAGAGGTTTGGTGGACTGTCTTCCTAAGCTCCATAGATTTGCTGTAATCTCTTCCAGGAATCTATACTGCCAGTTTCACCTGTCATGGACATGAGACTATCAAGGCTGGGAAGTAAAATTATGTGTACTTTAGGCTGTATGAAATTTAAGGGTCTTTAAGATATCTTGAAAATTATATACAAGAAGGGCTGCAGACATGGCTAGGTGATTAAGAGCACTGGATGCTCTTTCAGAGGACCTAGACTCCAACATCCATACGGAAAGTTACAATCATCTGTATCTCTAGTTCCAGGGGATCTGCTGTCCTCCTCTAACTTTTGTGGGTACTGCATGTATGCAGTGCATAGACACATAAAATAAAAAAGAATTCTTTATAAAAAAAAAAGTCATATACAATAGCCAGTGAGATACTCTGGCTAAAGGTATTTGCTGCCAAACCCAATGATGAGTTTAGCTCCTAGGGCCCATACAGAGGATGGAAAGAACCAACTCCTAGAAGCTGCCCTCTGATTTCCACACAGCACCCGAGGCATGTGTTGTGCCTCCCTGCTCCCACATACATAAATAAAGGTAACAAAAGTTTTTAAATGTATACAATAACCACTTAATGTGCTGAAACCTGGGGCCTAACAGAGTTTCAACTATCCATATTAGATCCCATTCAGCCCTCATGACTATCTGTACATGAGTGAGCAAAAATGTCATGTATTACTACTGTACTAAATCCTAATGTAGTCTTCAGTGGCTCCAGATCCACTCACATGGTCTGCCTATCTGTCACATACATGTTTTCACAGGTAAGCTAGCTAGACATTCCTCAGAGTGCATGGATGGCCATGGGTGTATTGAGTAGCCGAGACCCTAGCAGAGTGGAGAACCGATGGAATTTAATCTGCCCTGAACCCTGCTCAACAATCCCCTAGAACTATTTTCTTCTGCTTAGACAGGTGGTTTGAAGCACAGTTAATCCCACAATCTTTTAGGACAAATGGAGCCTGTACTACAAACCCACTGCATAAACAGCAAGCCAAAGACTGCCAATCTCTGTGAGAACTTTCTTATATCCATTCTCAAACTCAAAAAAAAAAAAAAAAAACCCTGCTAGATCTCAGACAGTAACTATCTTGAAGTGCAGAAAATGTCTTGTAAGAATTACCCGTCAATAAAAAACCCTATAGCCAATGAGCTGAAGCAGGAAATAGGAGGTGGGACATCTGGCAGGGAGAGAGGATTCTGGGATCTAGTGAGGCATGGGGGGATTCATCTGGAACTCTGAGGAGGAGATGGATGCAAGCCAGATGAGTAGTTGAACTCAAGGTAGAATAAGGGGTGATTCACCCTAAAATGCTGACGAGATGGACATAAGAAGGCAAGGAGACAAAACCAGCCACATAGCTGAACCCAGATTAGAATAAAAGGGATAATAAATTAAAAGCAAGTCAGAGAACAAACTGAAGCTTATAGCCTAGGCATTATTAATAATCAGTCGATATTGCTGGGAATTAAGTAGTCAGGGGAAAAACTCAGAATTTACATCAAGAGAGCAAGAGAGCTGAAGGAGGAATTTTGTCAGAGTATCAAGACCCTTACCTTCTAGCCAGCCCAAAGTCAATGATCTTAATTTGATGCCCTGTTTGACTGACACACAGTATATTCTCCGGCTGGAAGAGAGAAAGAGAAGGAAGATATTTTATCATTATTACCCTGGCTGAGAAAGCCTTCAGCTATCTCCCTTATTGTCCATAAGCCTCTGTTTCCTAGACTACAAAGGAAATAAATGGCTCAGGATAGTCATGTGGGGCTAGACAGATAATAAAAATAAACGACCACACTAATGAAACGGTTTGCACAGGGGGCTGGAGACTTGGCTCAGAGGTTGAGAACATGTGTTGCTCTTGCAGAGAGTTCAGTTCCCAGCACCCATGGTGGACAGCTCAAAACCACCATGTAACTCCAGTTCTAGTGTATCTAACAGCATCTTTTGGTCTCCATGGACAACCACACTCACATGCACACTCTTACACACACAGAGACACATACATACACACACATACACAAACACATACGCACACAGACACACACAGACATCCACACACACAGAGAGAATTAAAAACAAAATCATGTTTTAAAGGCATTGGTATAGACTGTGAGGAAGTATGTATGACTTTTGTCCCATGGAAAGGGTGGCCCTGCTCAGTCCCATCCCCCATCTGCTGCTCACCAGGAAAGAAGCTGGGACAGCACTCAGAGCTTCTCAGTCTTCAAGAGAAGTCAAAGACCCTGATTTTTGGTATGAAGATTCCATGTTTTAAAATGCTGACAGTGAAATAAAATGTAGACGAACACGTATGATGTGAGAACTGAAGAACATGCCTCTGAGATGGAGCTCTGGCCCATGACCCGAGACAACTGCTTTGGAATAGTGCTTCTCATCACTGGCTGCACACTGGAGTCAGAAGAGGTATGTATATTTTATTTATTTATTTATATTTTTTGGAGATGAGTTCCTCATGTATATTTGCTATGTAGTCAAGAGCGGCCTTTAACTCCTGGTCCTCCTGCCTCTAGCTCTGATTGCTACGCTTACAAATGTATGACATCACATCCAATGTCATGTGGTGCCCAAACTCAAGCCTAGGGCTTTGTGCATGCTAAACAAGCGCTCTACCAACTTAGCCACATTCTCAGACCTTCATCAGGGAAGTTTTTTTAAAATTTCAGTGTTCAGGTCCCCACAATTTCAGGAATAAGCCCAAAACACATTGGTTCAGTCACAGAGCATAGGGCTAGTTGGGTATGGTATATGGGTCTCAATTCCGGCACTCAGAAGGATAAAACGAGGAGAATCTGCAAATTCGAGACCAGCCTGAATTATATAGTGAAACTCTCATCTCAGGAAAATGGAGAAGGGGCTGGAGCTGAAGACCAGTGGTAGACCACTTGCCTAATGTGCAAAAGACACCATTCTTAGCAATTATCTGCAATTGTGCAATGACTATGACCCATGGGATTTGAATGGTGGCCTTGACACACAGGATGCTCTGGAGACACCTGCCAAGGCCCGACATAGCACTGACCTTGAGGTCCAGGTGCAGGATGTAGTGTTGGTGCAGGTAATGCACGCCCTCACAGATCTGCCTCGTGAACAAGACCACATCCAGCTCAGTCAGATGGTACTTCTCATCCGTGATCCGGTCAAAGAGTTCACCTCCATCCACACTGCCAGAGAAGAGTAAGAGCCAGGCGTCAGACTGAGGAAGTTCTCCGAGAGGCTGAGAACAGCCATCCAGGTGTTCCTAAAGTTGGTCACAGCCCACTGCACACCCAAGGGTGTTTACGAAGGGCTCGGGACACTGCTACATGAGGTTTTGCTGGGGCCTTTGCTCTGGCATATTCCATGTGGAAAGTTTTCCTAGAACCTGGAAAATCTGCGAAGGGACTCTGGCCAACATGGCTCTGGCTGGCCTTGCCCTTCTCCCTGATTTCCTCTGTCTTGCTAGACACCATTAGATTACATTCCTAAAGCTAGCCGCAAGGTCTGTTCCCTTATTTGGTCACTTCCAAATAAGGGCTGACTCCCAAGGTCCAGCTACCAAAGTATTGAAGTCCAGCAATCAATCTCTGTGCGGGGGTGTACTGCAGCCCCCTTTGGTTCACCTAATTAGATGCCCAATCAGAATATACCACTGCATCCTAGCCAATTCTAACACAGACCTCCCCCTTTTCTCTTCTTCAAAGTTACACCCGCGAAGTCATTTGCTGCTGTTTTTCTGCCTGAGTCAGAAGGCAGCCACTTTCAACCCCCACGCCCCCACCCCCACCTAATAAAAGATCTCTCTGTGAAAACAGATGTTTGATGTTCAACCCTAAATCAGGTTGAAGGGGAACCCCCGCTGTACAGGGTCTCCCGGCAACAGGAAATCAGCTGCTTAGGAGTCCCACATGACAAGGCTCCTGAATGAAGCCAGGCACAGTGACCCGCAGCTGTTATTCTGGTGCTTGGGAGGTGGAGAAAAGTGAGTCAGGAGTTCAGGACCACTCATGGCTACAACATGATTTCAAACATGGGCTACCTGAAACCCCATCTTAAAAAAATTAATGAATGAGTTAATTAACTGAAAAATTAAAAAGAAGCCTACATAGGAAAATTAGGTCATGTGTGAGACAAGTGTTTGTTTTTCCAAATATTTTGCCCAATCCCAGTGACTGAACCCAATATCTCATACATGCCACAGAAGTGCCACTGAGCCTGCTGTTTTTCCCACTTTTGATGGCTGTATGTTATGACAATGTTTTTACTCTTATTATCTCTGTCAGACGGTAAACAACAACACAAGCATAAAGATAAATGGCCCCTGGTTGATGGCTTCGATGTCAAGAGTCAGTTTCAAGTCTAGAGAGAAGGCTCAACTCCACAGACAAAGTGAGGTGCAGTAAACCAGTACACACATATACAGAGTGAGCTGCTGTGCACTCTGACACAGAGAGAGCTGTAGCGCACCCACACACAGAGTGAACTGCAATGCATCCCCACACAGAGAGAGCTTTAGTACACCTCTACAGACATAGGTGTGTGTCCAGTGTAACCACATATTTTCATGAAAGCTAGATATAAAGATTTTCCTATTTCTGTCTACATTTTCTAATTACCAACTGTTAATCGTTCACCCAAAATTGTTAAAACTTGTTTAGGACAAACTAACGTAGTGTCTGTGTAGAGTGAAAAATTATAGATACTGGGTATATAGAATCCTTTTTAGACATATAAAATATTCTTTAGGCTTTCTTTATAAAGACATGGAGAAATCGAGCCATGAAGCAAGTTAGGAATGTGGAAAGACCAGTCACCATTACTGGAACTGGCCGACCCGCAAAGAGAAAGGAAAGAATGCAAGTGAACTAGGTGGAAACAAGCTGGGAACCAAGCTGAGAACCAAGCTGGTAACCGCAGTGACAGGGCAAGGCCACAGTGACAGGGCAGGACTACATTCTTGAGAAAGGTAAGCGTACAGAGAGTTTTCACCTGACCCTGACTCATGTAGGTTGGGTTCCTTTGGAATGTTCTACTATTTTTATGTTATACCACCCTAGCAACCCCCTCACCCCCTCCTCATTCCTTGGTTTGTGGTTTTTCCCTTTAAAAACCCCTCTCAAACTGGCTGTCGGGGTCAATTCAGCTCCTGCGTGGGCATACGAATTGACCGGCAGCTAGCTGTCACGCCCTAATAAACCTCGCAATTGCTCCGGTACATCGTGTCTCGAGCAGATTACTGGGTGGTCGTGACTTTCTGAGACTTGAGAGAGGGTCTCCCCTCTGCGGAGGTCTTCATCTGCAGGTCAGATCAGAAATACTACATACTAGTTTGTGACAAAAGGACTTGCCCTCTGAATTCCATGCTCAGATTCAAAGGACTAGACCAGGGAGGGTGGCATGACTCTGGGCATGCCTGAGAGGAGCAGAGAGGGGAACTCTGCTTAGATGAAGTTCTCTCAGCCCTAGCCTTGAGGAGCAGAGAGGGGAGCTCTGCTTAGATGAAATTCTCTCAGCCCTAGCCTTAAGTCCACCCTGAAGGGAAACCACTACCCCACTTGCCAGATACTCACTACTCCATGATCAGGGTGAAGCTGTTCTTGCTCTCAAAAGCATCATAAAGTTGGATCAAGTTTACATGGCTGAGCTGGTTCATGATGTTGATCTCATTCTTCACATCCTCCTTGTGGGACCAGAGGAAAAATGGGTTTTCCGAGAAAACAGATCAGGAAGAGAAGCCATTTATATTTCCCAAGATGTGTACACATGGGCATGTGCACATTCATGTGCACACAAACACATCTACACACTCACATGCACACAGTCACACATACATATACACATTCACTCACACACTTACATATAAACACTGACATATATGTGTGTACTACACACACACACACACACACACACACCTTATGCTTCTTTCAACCTCTGCCTTCACACCAGGTCTCCTGTATCTCCTTGACTCATCACCCAAATGTGTTCTTATAACAGAAAAGACCTTGGTTCAACCCACTCACTCATCTCAGACAGGATGCCCAAGAAGGAAAAACCCTGTTGTCCAAGGTCCTACAAGTGTGTTGGTAGAGCCACACCAGGCCATTCACACAAATGAGGTCTGGACTAAGGAATGTGGGTGACTTAGAGAGTGGTGGGTGCATGAGTCAAGGTGAAGATGGAGAGAAGACGTTAAGTTTCTGCTTGGCATGGAGGGGGTTGGCTACTAGTGGCTGGATCAGGGTGCCATGAAGGAAGTGAGGGTCTGGGTCTTGGCTAGAAGGATCTGGCCTAGGGCAGCTGTCTCACCCGGTCCTTTACGCTCTTCACTTTGATGATCTTGGCTGCCAGTGCAAGGCCTGTGGACCTCTCTGTACACCTGTGCACCTGGCCAAACCGGCCCCTACGGAGACACAGGGACAGTGTGAGCTGAGACAATGAGACGCTTACCAACCTCTGAGTCACCGTTGCTCGCCTCTATACACACACCATGTGGGCTATCCTATGCCACAAGCTGTTATCCCAAAGTCTAGAAAATCACTTCTTCATCACCCACATCATATTTAGGCAGTGAAGGAGTTGGAAAACAGAAAGCTGGTGATAGAACAAGGGGGAACATGTTCCAGTCCCAGCGAGCAGCAGAACTCGGCAGCTTCAGCCATGTGGTTCTGGCTTTAGAGTCAAGAGTAGAAGGGGTTACCTGGACAACTGATGCTGATTAGCTGGAGCTAAGAAATTAGTGGTGATTAAGAAAGAAAATGGAAAGCATCCTCACTTTATCATGGGCTATTCTGGATACGGGACTACCTTCCTTACCTACTCCATGTCACGCCACACCCATGCCCCGCACTCCTGCTATCTCTGGAATGACCTACTTTGAGGGCCTCCTGTGCCTCTCCTCCCTTACACACAAAGCCATCCACATCCTAGGGATACCTCTGTCCGTTATCTATGCAGGTCAGCCTTGGTGGTACTGTCCCTGCCCCTCCCCCAGGCAGACGCTGCACTTACCCTCCCAAGACTTCATGTTGGGACACTGTGTAGCCTGTGGAGATCAGTGTATCTTTGACGCTCACTACCCGGTGTTCAAAGGGGGCTGGGGGCGCTGCACTGTCATCTGTAGAGAGACAACAAAAACCCCGTGAGTCTCCTTCAGGTAGCTTGCCATCGTAAATGGCAATTGAGTTAGCAGGTGACAAGCCCACTGCCCTTCTTATGGCCCCAGCATGTCAAAGCCCTGTCTCTATAATCATCCCAATAAAGCCACACATTTGGCAGGAAAGGTGTTAGTATTCTGTCTAAACTCCACCTCCACAGTTACCTGGCAATAGCCAGGTATGCTCTTCCCCACAGTTACCTAGCAATAGGCAGGTAGGCCTGCCCAGTATAAAGGGGCTGCCTGCCCCCTCCTCTCTCTCTTGCTCCTCTCTTGCTCCCTTGGTCCTGTGCCTGCAGGTTGTCCCCTGCCCCCTCCCCCCCTTCTCTTCCCCCTCTCTCCACGTGATCATGGCCAGCCTCTATTCCTCTACTTTTCTACTCTCTCTCCTCTCGCTCTCTTCCCTCCACCCCGAATAAACTCCCCCTTGTGGAACGGTCTGGTCTGCTGTGGTTTGTTCCAAGCTGTGCGCCAAAAATCTAACAAAAGGCAGCCAAGCTCGCTAGATCAGTGAGCAGATTTTCATGAGGAGGCTGTATTTAAAGACAAAGGGGCTATGGGAAATAGAGGAGTGTGAGAGGGAAGAGGCTGGAAAACACAGCATCCTCGCCTCTCAACCTTGGCCCCCAGATAGCTAATCTCAGCTAGATCCCCGAGGGCAAGAGAACCTGTCGTGGAGCCCATGGTGGGCATCTCTCAGGGCATGGGATGGTGAAGAGGGTTACTGGATCTACAGGGGAAAGCAAAGGACAGCTAGCACTTGGAAAGACAGAGAGGATAGGCATTTAGGACTGGAGTTTTCTCTTTAATTTTATTACAGTGTGTATGTGTGTTTGTGTTTGTGTGTGTGTGTGTGTGTGTGTACATGCTATGGCACACATGTACATGTGGAAGTCAGAGGATAATTTTCAGGAGTTAGTTCATCTTCTACCTTATAGGTCCATGAACTGATCTTGGGGCATCAGTCTTGGCAGAAAAGGCCTTTACCTGCTGAACTGACCTTTTGTTTTTCATTTTAATTGGATAATATGAATGCTTAGAAATGCCACATGGAATCATTTTTAAAAAGGAAAACATAGAGCCATCACAAGCCACATTCGATTTTATGTTGTGCGGTGATCAAACTAGTGCTTCAGCACTGTGTACACTAGACAAGCATTCTACCAACTGAGCAAGTCCCTAGCCCTCCTGCTTTCTGCATTCTTACCTGCCTTAATTTCAAAGAATGCTAATGGTTGAACACTCTGGCAGGAAGTTGCTTTGAGAAATCTACTCAGTTCTGCCACAGAGGCTCCTACTTCCCAACCTCCCAAGGTTTCATGTTTCTGCATCTTGGACTCTAGCGCCAGGACTTACTATCCAGAGCCTTATACTTAGAACCACATCATCTGTGGAAGGTATAGTAGGGCTTCCAGACACTCACCTTACAACTATGCACAGACTCACTTACCTAGAACCACAATGGCAGCCTCTGCAGCAGAAGACACCCTCCTTCCAGCTTCAGTTCTCTCTGGGCCCTGGTCTGCGTGGTCCTTCCCAGGCTCACGGCTTACTGCTCCTGGGTCTATGCCTTTCTGCAGGTCTGTGGTCCCAACAGTCTCATCTCTCCAGTCCCTTGTGGCCAAGCTTGGCCTTCTGATAGGCTCAGCCCCAGGCCCTGTCTCCTCCTCTTCTCTCACTCCACCATTGTTGCTGTCCCTCTTTGGCAGGGGTGGGAATGGCCTGGATCCTTTAGGGATGTGGTCTTCTAACACAGTTCCAGGACCTGGAGCTTCTGCAGAGCCAATGGGACTCCCACTTTGGGTCTCAAGCAGCTGCCCAGGAGCAGCCATCTCTTGCATATGGATAGAGATCCTAGGCAGAGAGAAATATGGTCCTGAGGTTCAAAACAAGGATGTTCAGTGATAAGACTCAGCAGTAAAACATTGCTTAGTGTCATAGTTAGCTTCATCTGTCAACTTGATACAAGCTTAGTGTCACCTGGAACTAGAAAACTCCCAACTGAAGAATTGTCCAGATCAGACTGGCCTGTGGCCATGTCTATGAAGCATTTTCTTAATTGCTAATTGGTGTAGGAGGGTCTAACCTATTATAGACATAACTTTCCCTAGATAGATGGACCTGGGCTATATAAGAAAGGTAGAAGAGATGCAGAGACCCACAACCAAACATTGGGTGAAGCTTAGGGACTCCTGTAGAAGATGGGGAGGAGAGATTACAGGAGCCAGAGGGGTCAAGAACACCACAAAAGCATAGCCCACAGAATCAACTAACCAGGGCTCATAGGGGCTCACAGAGACTGAACTGACAGTCAGGGAGCCTGCATGGGGCTGACCTAGGTCCTTCGCATGTATGGCAGGCATGGTTACTGTCTTAGGGTTTTACTGCTGTGAAGAGACACCATGACCACAGCAACTCTTATAAAGGGAAACATTTCATTGGGGCTGGCTTACAGTTTCAGAGATTCAGTCCGTTATCATCATGGTAGGAAGCATGGCAGAGTCCAAGCAGACATGGTTCAGGAGAAGGAAATACAAGTTCTACACCTTGATCTGAAGCCAGCTAGAAGACTGTCTCTTCAGTACTAGGCAGAGCTTGAGCACTAGGAGCCCTCAGAGCCCACCTTCACTGTGACACATTTCCTCCAACAAGGCCACACCTATTCTAACAGGGACACACCTCCTAGTAGTGTCACTCCCTATGGACCAAGCATTCAAACAGGTGAGTCTATGGAGGCCAAACCTATTCAAACCACTACAGTTGTGTAGCTTGATGTTCTTGTGGGATTCTAACAGTGGGAGCTGGGGCTGTTTCTGACTCTGTCTGCTTTGGGATCCTTCTCCTCTTAGTAGTTTTTGTAGTATATATGACATAAAATCATGAATTAGAAGTTAAGTAAAAATTGATAGCATTTTAGTTCCGCACTTATCCCCTAAGGACAATTAACTTCAAGTACCTGTGAAACTATTGGGGTTGGAGAAGTGGCTGCCACTAGTGAAGATTAGATCTGAATCTCAGCACCCCACTAACAATCTGGACATCTCATGAATCCAACCCCAGCTGTGACAGGACAGGGACAGAGGATCACTAGGGCTTCCAGTCTAGAAAAGCTAAAACAGAAAATAAAAAACAACAACAAAAACATGAGCCCCAGATTCAGGTACACAAAAGAATAGTCAGAGAGCAAGAGAGGGAGACACTGGATGCCATCTTCTGTTGCTATGCACATGGGCACATAGACCTGCAACACAAGTACACATACACCCATAGACATACACACACAAATAAATAGGTAAACAAATACATCTTAAAGGACTGTGTACAAAAAGAAACACAAATATGGCTTGTTTAGATTTTTAAAGAGAAATAAAAAATTATTAAGATGGGTCAGGGTGAAGCTTTAGTGGTAGAGGAAGGCTCCATACACACACACACACACACACACACACACACACACACACATACAAATACACATGCACATACAAACATACATACACATACATACACACATTCACATATACACACATACACACACACATACACATACAAACATACATTCACATATACACACATACATACACGTAAACACATACACACACACACACACACACATATATATATATATATATATATATATATACACAAACATATACACCACATACACAAACATATACACATACAAACATGTACACACATACATACACACATTCACATATACACACATACAGACACATACACACATATACATACATATACATACACCACACAGGCAGTAAATTCTATATTATATGTCCTTTACCATAATAAAAAGGGAAAAGAAAAATACTGGGCCTTTCTCCAGCAGCTGAAAGCCCTGCCCCTCTCTGATGTCTAGGTCTTTGAGAATGGAGGTTGACCACAAGTGGTGCAGAGATCCAGAAAACTTGACAAGCCAGTTGCTGGAGGATTATCCAGGTGGTCAGTAGAAAAGGCCAATGGACATTGCACCCCTGTCTGGTCTTCTCTTCCAGGGGAGTAGGAAGTGGCCCCCGTGTCACGCAGCTCTATGTCGTGTTTGGTGTCCTCCTTACCTTCCTCCTTACCTACAGCACAGAACGCCTACCACAAGCATTGCCAACCAATGACAAACTTCGTGCTGCAAGTTCAGATATGGTCTCAGGATAGCTATACAAGCAGCCCCTTCTCATCAGAACTGACAACTTTCAATCTACTTTTCTCAAACAAACAAACAAACAAACAAACAAAAAACCACATTCTAGGGGAGGAAGTACAGGTGGTAACCTCCTCACTTCCTGAGAACTGCTTCAGGTCCGGTGGGTCTGAAATACAGCTCAGGGCTGCTACTGGGATGGATGGCTCTTCTCGCTGAGGGGCTTTTGGGGGCCCCCAACAAGTCACAGAAAGTTCTCTCCTACTACAGCATCCACATTCAGAGCACATGGATTCAGCAAGCTGGTCTCAGATCCCAGCTTTGTGTATGGTGATACCCTGAGCCCCAATTTCACCATCAGAAAAACATGACAACCTTCACATGCCGGGAATGCGGGGAGGATAGTGAGGTGATGCCTGCAGAGTGTCGCACCACTGCTGGAGTGCTGTAACTGCTTGTGAACCCCATTTGCTGAAGTAACTATTTATCTCAAAGTTAGTCATTTGCAGCCCTATCCCCAGTAGAGTGAAAAACAAAAACTCCGCAATGGCACCTGAGGACCAAAAGTTACCAATAGTGCCAGACCAAAGGGGTCAGAGTCTCTGGGCCGGATGTTCCCTTTAATCCCCATTCCCTGTCCCCAGATAATTCTCATAACCAGCAGTGGGCACGAGTGCCCTAAGATCCCAAGCATAAGGGTCTTCCCCTTGTGAGACTAGTGCAGCTCTCTATAGACAGAGGTCACCTAACATGCACCACTAGCTAATCATACCTATGGCCCAACACTTACCTGGGAAGTGTTTCGCCACTGTGAATATCACTGTCTGGAGTTAGTGGCCCTAGGGGCTGAGGGCAAGGCCCTGAACTCAGCCTCATGGCCTCTTCTGAAAGCCAACAGTCAGGCTTGCTGGATGAGGTTCCTTGACCGGCACTTTGTGACATCTTGAGACTAGTGAGGACCTCGCTGATTCTGTCGATTGCTACAGACAGTTCCAGGGTGGTCCCAGTGTTCTCACTGGCTAGTTCAGGAAGCCTGGATTCTGCCTCTGTGGGTGGGGGTAGTTGGCCTGAGCCAAGAACTTCAACTCCCTGCCCCAGTGAGGCTCCTGCCTGGGTGAGGTCAGCTCCCTTCAGTGACGTATTGACGATGAGAGGCAGCCCCTCCACCGTCCCCACAGGTATGTCCTTCTGGCTCTCTACAAGACAGCAGGCAGGGTGAAACACACTCTTTAGAAGACACTGACTACAAAGAAAAGATGAGCATATATGTAAATCATCCCATGTACCACATCTATAAAACCCCAAAACTGGACATAACCCACACTGCCATCGGGAATGTGTCTGCATGATTGAACATCCATTCATCCAATGGAACGTTGTACAACCATTTTTAAGATGCGAGATGGTCCAGAAGTTAAGAGCACTGGCTGCTCTTCCATCGAATCCAGGTTCAAGCCCCAGCACCTACATGGGTAGCTCACAGTTGCCTATAACCCCAGTCCCAGAAAATCTGATGTCTTTTCTGGCTTCCACAGACAACAGGCACATAGACACATGCAGCCAAAACACCAATACACACTGAGAAAAGAAGGAAGGATGTTTGAGTGTGTACATGTGTGTAAACAACTACTTATAATGGATTTACGTAGACTGAACCACACAGAAAACATAGGAACTTCTTAAATGATCAGAAATAAAGGCTTCAGAGAAGGACAGAAGCCAGACCTCTCTTAGCAGACCTTATTTTGTCAATTTGACATTAGAACCCTAAAATATTATTCAAAAAAAGAATTTTGTTTTCTTGAAACTGCCTCACTGTGTAGCCCTGAGGGGCCTGAAACTCACAGAGATCTGCCTACTTCTGTCTTCTGTGTGCCAGGATTAAAGGTGTGCACCAACTTGCTAGGTATGTAAAGTTTAAGAAAAAAAGAATTAACTTTAAAAAAAAAAGCAATCCAGCTAAACTCTTGTTTTGGTTTTTTGTTTGTTTGTTTGTTTTGGTTGGTTGGTTGGTTGGTTGGTTGGTTTTTGGTTCTTTGAGATGGGATCTCTGTTGTAGTCCTGACTGCTCTGAACCTCACTCTGTTGACCAGGCTGGCCTTTAACTCAGAGATCTGTCTCTGCCTCCTGAGTCCTGGGATCAAAGACCCACTGACCAGCCCAGCCAAACTCTTAATTCCATCACTCTAGGGATGGAGGCAAGAGGACCAGAAGTTCAAGTGGAGCTTAAACTCAGCTACACAGCAGATTTCAAGACCAGTTTGGACTACATGAGACCCTGTCTCAAAAAGCCAAACAAAATTAAAACCGCCATACCACAGGTGGTTTGGTTAGTACTTTTATTCTGGATCATTATGTGTGCAGTTAGAAATAAGCAGGTATAGCCACTCACCTTCCCACAGCGTCCTAGAGGGGTCAGCTTGCACACTTCCTGTATTCAGTACATGCTTTGGCTTCACTCCAGTAACTTCTGCTTGCTCCTTGTTCTAAAAAACAAAATAAAGCAACTACCAAACATAAACACGCTGTCATTGAGACTTCAAACATCTGTGGACCACCTATGGCCTGCTTAAATATAGTTAGGTTATTTCATATGACCCACAGCAGTGTTAGGGGACACATAGTATTATCACTCTGGAGATGAAGACACTGAGGCAGGAAGAGCCTAGTTTCAAACCCAGAATCCATAACCTTTCCAGTGCATCTGAATGGCTAGGGAGCTGGGGACTCCTGAGCTGGGGTGCAAAGGTCTTAGGCCAGAAATGGAAAAAAAAAAAAACCTCAATCCTAAATCATCAACTGCTATATTCATGCTGCTATAGTTCTGGCTGAGACTGGATTCCAAAGTCAAATCCATGCTTGTGGGATGGACCACCACACTCAATTGCTAACTTCAGCTTAGGAGCTATGGAACTGCCTCCAGCTGAGTTCTGTCATTTGGGCCTAGAGTTGCCAAATCTTCTTTATTTTCCAAAGGAAACTGGTATTAGACTTTTTGCTTTCATCAGATTTATTAGGCATAAAATTAAATAAAAAATAATTTACTAAAGCATCATTTATACACAACAAATTATACATATAAGCCATAAACTCTTTTTGTGAGACAGAGTCTCACTCAATATCCCTGACTAGTCCAGAACTCTCTATAAAGACCAGACTCACAGAAATCCACCTTCTTCTGCCTCCTGAGTACTGAGGTTAAAGCCATGCACACCTGTACCAGTTCCATAAATGTACAACGGAAAATAATTCTGCCACCCCAATCCTTAGAATTTTAATCCAAAGATTTAAATTTTCAGTGTTGGAAATCAATTAAAATCTTTTAATTGCTGAAGAAAAATGTATCTTGAACTGTTTGTTATCTCTGTTCCCCCCAATAAGGAACTCTGTAGCTGAGGCAGGAGAGGCTGGTTAGTGGTTGGTCATGTATATTGGGGACCAGGGGTTTGTAAACCAGAGCTGTTGCTTTGACTTAACACCAGGAGCCATGCTTGGGACTTTTACTGGTCAAAGGTTCAAAACTCCTGGGAACCCCAACAATAGGTAGAAGCTCTTTTCTGGAGAGCTTGCTGGTCACAGAGTGACCAGGACCAGTATAGGTCTTTGCATATGTGTACCAGGCCCTGGTCTCTGGCGGACCTTTTAAGTTTAAAGAAGAGCATCCCCCTGGACCAGTGCTCAGCATCCTTACACAGAGGGCTCCTAGACACTGGTCACTCTTTGTTTCAAAATAGATATAGATGTTGAGTACCTTTTATATTCTGGACACGTTTTAAAACATTTCAGATTAGTTCCCTAATCTTCCTGCCCACTCTTTAAGGCGGATACTATTTACTGGTGGGATAATTCCTGATTTACAAAGTGAAAGCAAGAAGCTGAGGAGCTGGCCAAGTGCTGAAGGCAGAGTTTAAACAAGCAAGTTTGATTTGAGAGCCAGGTTCCTGCCACACTGCTGCTCAGCTCCTAGGCTGAGGTTAGCCACCGACTGTGGAGTCCCATCTCCCAAGCATGATTTGACCTTGGAATCCAGTCTCAACCAGAACTATAGCAACATGAATAGTTGACCTGAGTTGATTTAGGATTGAGTTTGTTTTTCCACATCTGGCCTAAGTCCTTTTTCCTTCAGGGCAGCTCCCCAAAGTCCTCCCTCTCCCAAGTCCCCCTGCCTGTTTTTCCTGTGCCTCTCTCAGTCCTGTTCCCTTCTCACCCCTTTGTGGTTCCAGGGCATGAGCCTCATCTATGGAGATCACATGACAACTTGCAGGAATTGGTTCCAACCTTCTACTACATGGGTCCTAGAGTCAAACTCAGGTCTTCAGATGTCGCAGCAAGCATCTTGTAAGCCAGAGGACACAAATTTTACTCCATCTTTCTCTCTCTTCCTTTCCTTCCTTTCTCCCTCCCTCCCTCCCTCCCTCCCTCCCTCCCTCCCTCCCTCCCTCCCATCACCGTCCCTTCCCGTTCTGCCTTCCTTCCAGTGTGCACACATGTGGGCATGCCACTGTGCACATGTGGAGATCAGAGGATAACTTGCGGGGGTCAGGTCTCCCTTTCTGTTATATTGGTCCCAGGGATTAAATTCAGTTCATGAGGTCCGATGGCAGTCATTTTTACCTACTGAACCATCTTGCCAGCCCAGTTTTGCTCCTTTAATAACATGGAGTGCACATAGCCCAGTGTCCAGGACATAAAAAACTATGCTACCTGTTATGATCCTCATGTCATCAGTGTGACCCAAACCTGTGCAACAGACAGCATGCCTCTTCCTTCCTCTGCAGGATCTGTCCTGCTACCCCTGTTTTGGAAGCTAGAGGCCTTTTCATAGATTTCCTCTTCAGTAGAAGCCAACTTGTACAGACTGTCCTGAGGCAGACCCTGTTGGTGCAATCTGTCCTTTCCCTCGTTTTCTTCAGTACAGAAGGGCTCCTGTGTCTACCCACTCATGAGGGCTGATGTCCTGAACAGCCTGACTGTATTGGGCCCACCTGCAATTGAGCCCAACTCTGAGGGCAGATGGCTTCTTATGATAATCTAATTCATTATTACAAGCAAATTGAGGTTAGTGAGCACTTTAGAAGATGAAGCAGGTGGTAAGGTGGTGTGCTAGGACTGTAGTCCAAAGGCAGGGCACCTGCCTTGTGTACATGAAGCCCTGAGTTCAATCCCTGGGATCACCACCAAAATAGAATATAAAGAATGTAATCAAGCCCTGACATAATTTTCAAATTTAATAATGTTAGGATGTAGTTCAGTTCTACATATGATTACTATACCCCTACTCTCTTAAAAGACAAACAGGGGGTCTCTAGATGTCTCTGGAGTCTAGATTTTGGTAGAATGTGTTAAAGATCCATGGCCTCAGCTCACAGAGTTCTCTGAACTGCGCATTCATCCTTGACAAGTAGAAACTTATGTCATGATCCAGGTAAAATCTGACAATCTAGTTGGAAGATAGGACCCAAACCAGCAGACAGTCACTGATAATGTGAATTAAACACAAAGACCGGAGGGAGATGCAACCGGGAAATGCAGACAGGCAACATTGCAAGGATGAAAAGACAGTTCCCTGTCCCCTGTTCCCAATACCTACATAGTTACAATGCAGCTAATTCTATTATTCTACAAATATCTCTTATAAATAAATAAGGAAAAATATAAAACAAAATAGGAAGTTCACGAACAGGTAGTTCACTGAAAATATAAAAAGTTTTAAACCATGTATTATCCTTTAGTAAAAGACATTAAAGCTTTAAGATATGTTCTTCTGGCTGGGCAGTGGTGGCTCATGCCTTTAGTCCCAGCACTTAGGAGGCAGAGGCAGGCAGATTTCTGAGTTCAAGGCCAGCCTGGTCTACAGAGTGAGTTCCAGGACAGCCAGGACTACACAGAGAAACCCTGTCTCAAAAACAAAACAAAACAAAACAAAAAAACCAAAAGATTTGTTCTTCTGTCATCTCTTGAAATTTTTATAAATATAAAAGAAAAATTAGCTTTATAGGACATACCACCGATTGCTTCACTTGGACTTGATTTAATAAGGAAACTAAGAAATTTTAAAAAGTATAAAACATTCAGGGATGATTGAATGCTAAGTTCAAATAATAGCAAAATTGTTTACTTTGGTGATATAATAAGAGCAACAAGACTGTGTTTCTGAGATAGCCCCGTCTACTTGTTGTTTGTTGTAGTGTTGAGTTTGAAACATGGGCCTCCTGCATGCTGGGAAAGTGCCCCTTTGAGCAATATCACTCATTCCAACTCCATTCTTTCCCATAAGGGTAAGAACACTAACTGCCTCTCGAAGCACGTTATCCAACATTTTAATTCTCTTCTATTCTCCTTTTCATTCTGATGCATGAAAAATAGGGTCTTATGTGTATTTTAAATATTTCAAAATGATAAACTTCAAAAACACTTAAAAAAAACTTTTTTTTAAAAAAAATTTTTTTTTTTTTTTAAAAAAGAACTCACTCTGTAGACCAGGCTGGCCTCAAACTCAGAAATCCGCCTATCTCTGCCTCCCAAGTGCTGGGATTAAAGGCGTGCGCCACCACCGCCCGGCTAAAAAAGAAATCTTAAAGCACATTCACCCCACAGTATCCAGGAGAACACAGGAAATGTAGTATCTGTCTCCAGCCTTGGAGATCCTCCTGTCCATTGTAAATCATCTGTACATTCTACACTGGATGGTTTAGTTCCTAGTGTAATGTGCTATGTAAACAGGTATTATCCTGTAGCAGAAGGATCTCCCCAGAGGGGGTGGAATTCACTCCTCACACTCAGGAAAACTAAGGAGAATGCTCTTTACTGAAGGCTGTATGATCCTCCAACGTGAGGCCATGGAGTAGCTAGGATGAGGAAACAAGATTAGAGAGTTAACAGAGAAAGTACACACACAGAAAGTTAGCACTTCGTTCTCCTAGCTACTGGAAGGACTGAAGAAGACAATGGCTACTCTACTTGCATAAATCTAAAAACTTTGTTAGAAATCATTTTCACCTTAGTCGTCTGTCATCTTTCTGTTCTTACATGAAAACAGTTACTAAAGACTGCCGTCTGCTGTACCAGGAAACAGCACAAGCTGTGCCCAGAGCAGGCTGTGTAAACCTATAAGGAATCATGCTTTTGCTTTGTGTTTAGTCTATGTTTTAAGGACGCAGGGGTTGGAACTAATGATCCAGGATTCATAGAATTTATGTAAATGTAAGGATTTCTAAAAAAATAATTAACAATGGTCAAAGCCTTGATGAGGTAGCTTTAGTAAATAAAACACTGGGTTCAGGCTCTCTGGTCGGGAGAAGGAAAAAAATGAGAAGGGAAAAGGAAAAAATGGAAAGGGAGGAGGAAGAAAGAAAGAGAAGGAAGAATGATGAGAATCCTGGGGAGGGGGGGAGAGAGAGAGAGAGAGAGAGAGAGAGAGAGAGAGAGAGAGAGAGAGAGAAAGAAAGAGAGAGATCTTGACCTGACAGCTATACAAGTCATTAAATCAGCACTGCTCTCATTCCCCCGTCCTCAGAACAGTCCTCTCCCTGAGGCTGGACCTCAGCCCCTCACAGCTAGTTAGTCCCGCATGTCTCAGTTGCCTGGAGTTGCCCAAGGACCTACATTCTGACTGGACCACAACTCATCCTTTTTTGAAGAGGGTGGGGATCACTGGACTATGTGGAAATCCATCTATGGTCTTTAAATTTCCATCTTTCATTTCCCCTACAACAAGATACAGAATACATAAGGAAACAATAATATCCCAACTCTCCTAAGAATCATTTCCTGGCCATGTTCCCCATCAGGGTCTCCAGAAACCACTCTAGCCAGGGCAGGGAATCCAGAACCGACCTCCTCGGGACCATCAGCCAGACTGCCTTTCCTCCATGGCACGGCCCCTTGCATGATGAAGTCATCCACCTTGGAGTTCTGGAATGTGGACCCTACCAAAGTAATAGCCCTGTCCACAGCCACCACCATCTTGAAGAGGGCTTCGAGTCGGGCACCATGCTGGGCACCCTCCTGCCGCACAGCCCTCACCAGCTCCAGGACTTCAGGCCATGCGGCCTGAACAGTGGCTGGGGGACTGCTGCCAGGCCCTGCCAGACCCAACTCCCGGGAGGCCTCCAGGCGATGCAGACCTTGTTCCAGGTGGTCCATGCCTTGGCACACACACTGCAGCTTCTCTGTGACATCTTCTTGGAAATGCAAGAGTCTATCGACCTTCTCCGTCAGCACATTAAGTTTTTTGTCCATGGTGGCTAAGCAGACTCCGCCCAACGCTGTCAGACCCTGGGGGCCCAGACCCTCTGGATCCTCCTCGGGAACTTCTGACATCCCGATTCTGGTTTGATAAGGGCAAAGGCAAGGAGGCTGGAGCACGAAGGGTCTGCTTCTCTCTCACTTTGGTGGTAACATCTGGAAGGCCATTGTCCTGGGCTGGTAAGAGCCTTGCTGCAGAGCACTAGCCTGCCCTCCTGACTGAGCTGTTTGGGGGAACGGAGAGGGCCAAATTCTCTGTGTTTCTGCCTTGTCTATCTCCCCCTCAGCCACTGAGAGAGTGACAGGCTGAATTTTGGCCCAGGCCCTTCTCTTGGGGCCTCTTTGACATCATGGTAACAATTAACATTCCTCTTTAAGAGGCTGCTGACTGCAGATATTTTAAGTCTGCCCAGAGAGGGCTGGGGCTCATATAGCTCTTGCTAAAGAATGGAAGAAAAATGTCTTTTAACATGCAAACAGGGAAGGGGAATCCACGGGACCCCACCCTTAAAGAACTCGAGACAACCAAGGAAAACTGAGAATTAGTCTTCCCCAGGGATGAGCCCCCTAATTGGTTATCCAATACCAAGTGGTCAGCCCTGAAATCATATGCATACAAGTAACAATAAATAAATCAGCAGGTTGTATTTATAGACTTATGTGTTTTTATACATATAATAATAACAATAAAGAAAATGAATTTGAGAGGGACTGGGAGGGATTAGATGGAGGAAAAAGAAGGGGGAAATTATATAATTGTAATTTAATTGAAAATAAAAGTAACAGGGTGCTCTTGGTGCATGCCTTTAATCCTAGCACTTGAGAGGCAGAGGCAGAAGCAAGCTGATTTCTGGGAGTTAGAGGCTAGCTTGGTCTAACAGAGGGAGTTCCAGGACAGTCAGGGCTATACAGAGAAACCCTGTTTCAAAAAAATAATAATAATAATAAAATAGAATAAAATAAAAATAAAATGCAGAAAAACATGTCCTTGTTCACATACAAATTCACTTTGGTCTTTAAAAAGGATAAAAGTCTATGTATACTAACAAATTGTCATAAAATAAACTCCTTTGTGATTTATTATCCATAAGAGAGTATCTCTTCAGTTGGATTACACAAAGGGGTTTTCAGAATTCCAGGTGCTGAGGAGATGGGACCCCACTGAAGAGACAGACCCCACAGCCACACACACATTTAATTCACGACAGGAGGTGAGATGAAGGCAGTAAACAGTAAGTCCCCTCCACCCAGCTCTGCCTTTAACCATCATGAAATAGTTAATGTTTCTGCAAACTATAAAAATGAACTTTCTGTTGTTGTTCCCTGATTGGATAATACATGATATGTGGGTTTGGACCGCCTGTGAGGAGAGTCTACAGCTCATGCCCCCTACAAACATGCACGTGGGACCCCTACCTAAAAATAGATCTGAGAAACAACAACCTAGGGTACTCACTAAGTGCAACCCCACGGGTTGTGTTCCTTTAAAAATACCCTCTGGAGACACATGCCAGCAACCTCCTGGCTCCCTGTATGACAATGAACAAATTGAACAACCAGTGTCTAAGTTTCCAGGATCTGTAGTGTCACAGAGAACTAGGAGGCCTGTGTTCCTGAGGTTTTCAAACACTTCAAAAATACTGTGCCTGAATCAGAGTCTTACAGAAGCAGCAGCATCTGAAGTGGACACATTCAGGCTGCAACTGGTGTGGGACACAAAAGTGAATCTGCACCTTGGAGTACCAAGGATGTCACAGGCCAGTATGACAATTTTTATCCAGTCCCTTGTGAGAACTAGAAGAGCCCAAAAAGGAAAATGTGCCCAGGCTACACAGACACATGGTTCTGAGGGTGGTTTTGCCATACACAGGAAGGCATCAAGGGAAGGGGCCTTTGGTGTCCCCCCAGATTCCCTTTATTGAACACAACCAATTTTTATAAACTGGCCTGGAAATCTAGGACCCATAGGCACTATCAAGCCATTTTGCATATTTTAATTCGCAGGTGGCCTTCCAGTAGTGTCCTTGCTATGCTTGACCACAAACCCCCTCTACTCATCCCCCACAAATGCCTGTTCCTCAGCCTGGAGCTAGCCAAACTCATTTCTGGGAGTGGTCCTGAGTCTTGGTGGTAGAACGAGCACAGCAAGCTGGAAAAGAACACTGGTCTGTTTTCCTATTGGTAAGACTAAAGACAGATACATAGGGTGGGGCTGCAGCTCAGCTAGTAGAGTGGTTACCTAGTGTCATAGAGCCCTGGGCCCAGCATTACATACAGTGGCTCACAACGGTCTGATAGCCAGAGTGAGGGACACGAGTGTTTCTTAGGAAATATTTATCCCTGTCAGATTGTACACTACCTACCGTACCTGGTACTGTACATATAAGGAAATGGGGTAGGCTACACATTTGGGTAGCTGAGGGAAGAAAGGAGATTTTAAAAGAGCCTTTTGAATTAGAGTCCTCCAAAGGGAGTGGTGGGTCTCAGTAACAGAAATCTGTATGGGGCTGGATGGAGGAAGGGCTCTTTAGAAAGAGAATGCCCAGAATGTAGAGTAGTCACCTTGGATTTGAACCTGTTTCCAAAAGAGGGACAGTGTGTATCATGAGTTAGAACTCAAGAAAATTGGACAAACTTAATGCTGAGATGCTGAAAATCTCTAAGAGGTCACATGAAGACAGAGGACATTGAATGTTATGGTATCGAAAGCAGATTGGAGGGTTATGTCTCTATCCAGGACTAGAGAGGGAACTGAGATTCTATCTCTGTAATGGCTTTCCCTCAGACCTCCAAGCCCTGGTATCTGTGTCCTCTTTCCATCTATGTTACTTTCTTGTGTGTTACTCAGGAAATGGGAGGTGAGGTCCATCTTTAATGGTCCATCTAAAATGTGTCTTCTGTCTAGTTAATTTGGCATAAATCTTCATTGTAAAATATTTAAGATAAGACCAGCTTAATTCAGCTGGGCAGTAGTGACATGTCTTTAATCCTAGCACTCGGGAGGCAGAGGCAGGTGGATCTCTGAGTTTGAGGTCAACTTGGTCTACAGAGTGAGTTCCAGGATTGCCAGAACTACACAGAGAAACCCTGTCTCAAAAAGCAAAAACAAAACAGCGAAAATCACAGAAATATATTAGGCTTAGTCTCCATTCATTGAACTATTAAATTCAATGCTCATATTCATAGACAGCATACTCTCATGACACATGCAATGCTATGTAACTCTGACAAATGTAACACAATAAAAATGCTAGTACAATTTTTGTTCACAGAGCTGGAGAGGTGGCTCGATGATTAAGAGCACTGGCTGTTCTTCTAGAGGACCTGAGTTGAATTCCCAGCTCACAGCTGTTTGCACCTCTGGTTCCAGGGAATTCAATGTCTTCTGGCCTCTGTCAGCACCAAGCATGCACATGGTACACAGACATGCATAAAGCCAGAACACTCATGTAGGCTAAAAATATAATAAAAAATAATTTCTTATTAAAAAACCAAAAGAAAATTATGGCTATATCTATATATCTGTATCTATATATTTATATATAGCATATATGACAATTTCAACATTAAATCTGTTTAAAGGTTTGCTTTTACTTTTCTGTATTTTTTTTAACTTATAAAGAGAAATCCCATTCCTTTGTTGTAATATAGAGAATTAGCACCCTCTTCTCTATCTTCATGTGAATATTTCTTCCATTTGTTCCTTTGTTCAAAGAACTCTCTCTATTGCCTTCCTGTATTGAAACTTGTCTCTTAGGAACCTTGGTGCTGCACGACACTGAGTGTTCTGTACTTGAAACTTGGCTGGGGTGGATCTCATGGGTAGATGATCTGCCTACTCTACCAGAGGCTCTGGGTTTGGGGTAGAAACTGAAGGATCATGACTTCAAAATCATGCCTTGGCCAGCTCCAGGCCCACCTGTCTCAAAACAAGAGGAAACTACATTGTATATTGGAAATTATAATGTTGTCTTCCCTCTTCTGCCATGACTGTTAAGTCATTAGATGAATGTGGTAGTTTGAATCAGATGTCCCTCATAAGTCCCCGACTCCAGTTAGGGGTTCCTGTTTGGCAAGGCTTATGTAATGTGCTGTGGCTAGAGGAAGTCCGTCCATGGGGTGGGCCTAGAGGTTTCAAATGGCTCCCTCCATTTGCAGTTCCGTCTCTGTGTTTCCTGCAGTTCAAGATGCAAGCTCCTGGCTCTTTCTATCTCCATGCTATGGCACTTGGTGCTGTGCTTCCCCACCGTGATGGTGACAGACTCTTCCCTCTGGATCCAGGACCATACTCGAAAAAGAAACCCTTCCTTCTGTAAATTGTCTTGGCCATGGTGCTTTATTACAGCAACAGAAAAGTAAACAAGACACGGAACTTTAAGAAGACTTAATAAGAGACTATTTTTAAAGAACAAAACACTCCTAAAAGAATCAGCATGTCTCCACTACCTTGCACCCTTTATCTTGTTTTAAGAGTATGTAGTTTAACTTAAATTCATGAGCTTTCCTTTTTAAATGAAACAATGGGCAGGCCTAAGATACAGCAGTTGTTGATGCTTCCTCTTTCTCCAGTCTCTTTTAAGAGTTATATCCTAGTTTGAGGCCAGCCTAGTCTACAGAGTGAGTTCCAGGGCAGCCAGGGATACACAGAGAAACCCTGTCTTGTAAAACCAAAAGAAAGAAAGAAAGAAAGAAAGAAAGAAAGAAAGAAAGAAAGAAAGAAAGAAAGAAAGAAAGAAAGGAAACAGGAAAAAAAAAGTTATATCCTGTCACAAGTAGACATGGAATGCACTGTCTGGTTACTGTTTGCATGGGTTCAAAACAGCCTGGGGAAAGCAGAGCAAAGACCAAAGCTTTGTTTCCCCGATATCTACTGTTTGACCTTTAGTATTTGCCCCGTTGACTGGTTTGGAAGAATTTCTATGTTTGTGTCTTGTGTTCTCATCTCTGAAGTATGACTCAGGAGATTTCACTAGAGATAACAAGTCAAGTTTTCAAGTTTTCATTTTGCCTAGCTATATAAAAGGTTTTACTCAATTGAGAAGTTCATCTAGTTACGGTTACAGAAATTTTATACTATTCTTAACAACATTTTAAAAATACTTGTGAGCTAAAAATTAGATGTAATTTAATCTTTCAAGGATTCAAGGTAAGCATCTATTGATAGTCGAAATGTATTTAAATTCTGTTTTTCCTTTCTAGTCATCCATTGACTATGTCATCAACAGTTCAGAACCATGAGAATGTGGAGGAAGTGGACTGTCTTGTTTCTTGGCTC